CAAGTCTGAACTTTATCCTGTAGGCCACTGGGAACCACTAAAAGGCTTTAAGGAGGAGAGTGGCATAATCAGCTGGATGTGGTGGTACACACCTGTAATCCAGCTACTGAGTAGGCTGATGTAAGTGGATCACAAGTTTGAGGCTCAGACCCTGTCTCAAAACAAAATAAAAGGGCTGGGGATGTAGCTCAGTGGTATAGCATCCCTGGCTCAATCCCCAGTAGTGAAAGAAAAAAAAAAATAAGTTGCTAAGTTAGGCTTTCAAAGTAAGGACATGTGGTGACTCCTAAGTTACCAGCTTAGAAAACTGAATAGATAGTGGTAGTTTCTCAAGAGAAGGAATGTAAAAAGAGAAATAGAGTTGGGGGACTACATAATTCATTTCGGACATGGTTAGGGTGTGCTGTCTATGGAGCACCCCAGTGGAAATGTCAAGGATGCAAAAAGAAATACAGGCCTAAAACACAGAGGAGATATGATATTGGTACTCAGTAGCATACTGATGATGTTGACATTGGGGTTTGGAAGAGACAACCCAGAGAGAAGAGCAAAGGGTGAGAGGATCAAGGACTAAAACCTGGGTAAAACTAACATTCAAGAGGCAGGTAAAGGCTGGAAAGCCAGCCAAAGAAACCAAGTAGAATCTTTGGTGAATAAACTTAACAGGATAGCAATTGCAAGGTTAAAGATCTCCCAATCTCCCTCAGGTGATTCTGATATGAACTATAGATTCACCAGGGCAGCAATGAATATGTTCACAGCATGAAGTATCTGTTCTAGAATCTGCCTGGAACCAGAAAGGGATGAAGATACTAACTAAAACTAGACAGGATACAAGGACCACGGCTACATTTAGGATGCTGAGTCAAATCAGTGTTACCTGTAGCCTCCAAATTTCTTGGTTAATGTATTACACTGAACAGATTGTTTAAGCCTTATAAGACAATCAGAATACAACAATGGGAATGACTGCTATTATGAATATCATCATATAAAGACAGAGAAGGAGAAAATTGCAAAATATCTATCTCTACAATGGGCCTCCACCCAGAGGAAGCCAACTGCACACAGTTGTCCAGGTTTTGGTGTCAGGGGTTGATTCTTGGCCAGAGGTTGCCAGCTGCAGAAGGAGGGGCTCTATTTTAGGCTGCCTGCTGTCCCTGAGCCTGTCCGCATCTGGTTTGAGCAGCATGCAGCCCCAGTGACTCACACACCCATGCAAACCGCCTGTGGCTCAGTGGCATGGCCTCGGAATGCTAGCCTTAGGCCAGCTCCCTCCTCACCCCATTACACTGGGATAAATAAATAAAGAGCCCGCCAGCAGCCGCATAGCCTGATAGCAACCAGATGGAGGGAAAGAGGCACAGATGGGGCCAGGAGAAGAAACTCCCTCCAGTGGACTAGATGGAGAGAAGGCTATAGCAGCCACTCATCCTAAACTTCATCTTAAACTCATTTACAACTGCTGTCATAACAGTGCCCGATTCCTTGACTTTTCTTCCATTCCAAAAGATACCTCTTAGGCCTAATCTTGGGAAATGCTCCATATGGGGATCTTGCCCTACATGAGGATCATGCCAGCAGTCCTCTCTCCCCCAGCCTTGATTTGAATCAACATTGCCAGTATTCCTGCTTTAGTTAGGCTGCTATCAATTGGCTCCCTTAGGTTCCCTAGAAATGAAAAATCAGAGGCTCTTGAGGGGAGAAGAAAAACAAAAAGGATCAAATATGGGAAAGTGATCCCTGTTCAATCCTTCAATATTTTTTCTAATCTTATATCCAAGAAACCTCCCTATCCCACTGCCCCTGCACTCTGTCTACAATCTCTTCCCTAGCAATATTTCCAATGAGAATAGGAGTGACCCCAAGTACTGACCGAGTGGCCCTCTGACATCAGCCTGGCCTCTCCACGCCTTCATCCCAAGCTCTCTCTCTGGTTTGTTTATCTTCCTATCCCATGTTGCTTATTTTGATGGCACATCCTTTCATTTCAGTCTTGGGTGACCCCATGACCCTTCTGTGTCCTGTTTGCAGCACCCCAGGCAAGCACAGTAACTGAAAAGATGCAGTAGCCATATGAAGCTCTATAGTCTCAATAGTGCTCTAGAGTCCTTTCAGTCTAGCAGCTATGCAGAACATTCTGAGGACAGTGCAGTGAACCCACAGTCATAAGAATTCAAATTACCCTATCCTTATGTCTCCTCAGCTGGTGTGCACAACAAGTTAAAGTAGAGAAACAGAATAGGGATACATTTTAGACTCTGAGTCAAGAAATGTGGGAAGTCCTAAACATACAGATCTTAGGTAAGTCATTTAACCTCTGAGACTCAATTTTTTTCATCTATGAAACGGAAAGCTTCAGCTATGTATCTCTATATGACCCCATATATAAAACTTCTATAAGTCTATGAGGCTTGGCTGCAATCCACCCAGTGCCTAGAGGACCAGAACTCGTAAAGTAATTAATTGCAAGTACCAACACCATCCCTGAGTTAGCACCTGGATTATATGGCTTTCTCATTCCATTCTACAGGGATGGAGCCCTCCCCCAGCAGCATGAAAGAGATGAGCCTCCGATTTTAAAAATGAGAAAACAGTGGCTCTGAGAGAAGTGATTTATCTAAAGCTGCAAAATAAACCATGATAATAACTGAAGTCCCCAAATACAGCCCTTAAAAGCAACAATGTATTTACAGGCCACACTGCCACAAAATTCACACAATTCCCCCTGGCATAGATTTATCAAAATATGCATACACAAACTTATAGAGAACCTACTTATTCTAGGCACTATAATCCATGCTGGGAAGACAGAAATGCATTCAACATCCCTGCCCTCAAAGAAACCAAAGATCAGCAACTCAGGAGGCTGAGGCAGGAGGACTGCAAGTTTGGAACAATTTAGTGAGACTCTGTCTCAAAATAAACAGGGCTGGAGACTTAGCTTAGTGGTAAAGTGCCCCTGGGTTCTATCCCCAGTATGTGGTGGGAAGGGGAAAGAAATCAAAGATCAGCAGCAGAAAGCTACAGTTTTGGAGACATAAAAAAAAAGTATAAACCAATGCACTCTAATAGCAGGAAAGGATTATTTTTATAATGAGAGTCCAGAAAGATCTTCCAAAGAAGCTGAAGCTGGCACTTAAAAGATGAACAGTTTACAAGGTAGATAAGGCCAGCACATTGGTCATTCTAGATAAAGGAAAGAATGTTATAAAGACATAAAGGCAAGAGAAAACAAAACAGCATCTGGGAAAATCAAAAGTCATTTCTTATGGCTGAAACATAAAGCACATATAGTAAAATGTTATGGAGTCAAGTTGGAAAGCACATAGGCGCTAGACCAGCAGAGAAGGCTAAGAGTTAGCCCTGAACTCTAATTCAGGGCCTGAGGCAGGTAAATGGTACACCAGCTCCAGGCTGTGTTAACACTCCTTAATGCCCAGAGATTCACATACAGAAGCCATCTGAGAGAAAAGTGGCCTAAGAAATCTCTATCACGGGCTGAGGTTGTGGCTCAGAGGTAGAGCGCTTGCCTAGCATGTGTGAGGCCCTGGGTTTGATCCTCAGCACCACATAAAATAAATAAATAAAATATATTGTGTCCATCTATAACTAAAAAATAAATATTTAAAAAACAAACTTGAGTTTTTTAAAAAGAAATCTCTGTCACATATTTAGGTGTAACAGTCTCTCTTTCCCCAAGAATTTGACATTAATTATGTTTCAGGACTTAGCAATGCAAGCTTTCCTTCTTCTCCAGAGTTAAAACTACTTCGGTACATGGGCTGAGTACTCAGCTCCCCCCACTTTTTTTTTGCTCCTAGTGTTAAGACTTCAAGTATTAAATCTCAGTCAATGAACAGAAAGAACAGAAGGTTCCAGATCAAGAACACCTGCTTTACGTCTAGCCCCTGTGAAAAGTGTTTATTTCAGGTTCAAAAGATCTGAGACACAGAACTTATCCATAAGAAGCTTACAATTAGCCTAAAGGGCAAGACAGAAATATGAATAATCTGTATATAACAATATTATAGTAGCATTATTTACTTACATAGTAACTTGGGTAATATGTATAATTAGAAAATGGGGCAATAATACTAAGATACTAACTGTATAACCAACAAGTCCTTCTCTAAGAATTAGAGAAGGAAAAGATCAATATTGACTGGTATTATCAAAGGTCACCATTATTAATACTCCCACTGTTTGGCCTTCAACAGATGTTTCTTTTGGCCAAGCTTAATCCTTAGAAGGGAAACTAGGCAGAAGCTTCTGACAGGCCACAATTATCTACTCCCCATTCATTCCTTTGCCAATCCCCTTGTATAAACACTGTGATTTTCCACGGCCTGCAGCACCCACAAGACAGTCCCCAGATGGTAGCCCTAAGCTTTTAACTTTCCTCTACTGCTAGATGCTGAAGGGACTGGACAAGTAACGATGACTACACTTCTACTCCACAATTCAGATCTCAATAAGCACAAGTTAACAACTGGCCACTCAAGCTTCCCAAGGTTAGAGAATTCCAAATGAAATTCCCAGGTACTTTAACAGAGATATTTTATAATTGTTAATTAGTCTGCTTTTGCCTTTTGTATTCATCCCCTTTCCTTCCCCCATCTTCCCTATGTACATCTCAAGCTTTATCAGATTTTCTATAGCCCTTCAGACAAAGGGCTTTCCAACCATACAAGCCACCTACCACCCAAAATGCAAGTCACCATCCAGGTTTTTTTTTGTGGGGAAAGGGGTGGCAGGAACTGAAACCAGGGACACTTAACGATTGAGCCACAACACCAGCTCTTTTTGTTTTATTATGAGACAGGGTCTCACTAAGTTGCTTATGGCCTCACTAAGGTGCTGAGGCTGGCTTTGAACTTGCAATCCTCCTGCCTCAGCCTCCTGAGCTGCTAGGATTACAGGCATGCACCATCATGCCCAGCACTACCCAGGCACTTTAAGTGCTCAAATTTGAAGAAGAAAGGAAATAACTACCCTACCTCTACCATAAACTGTTCCAAGAAAGCATTTTCTTCAAATGGCTCTGTCTTCAATCGACCTGTAATAAGAAGGGCCAAAGAAAAAGAAACATGATCCTGAGGATGAGCTTCCTACCTGTTGGATGAAAAGGAACAGAGTCCAGAACAGAAAGATGCCCTCCCAGAGATCCCCCCTAGCCAGGTGAGAGAAGGAGGATTGAGAGTATGTGGGCAAACACAAGGAGGAGAGGGCAACTGGCAATAAATGGCAGTTCAGGGGCAGCAGTTGCTCTATGAGATCCTCCTGCCATTTCCATTGACAAAATGGCATGTCAAATGGAATTTTTACTTTGAAGTTGGTGCTTTGCAACGTCCTAAACTCCCCAAGTTCACCTTGCCCTAGTACAATTTTGTATAGTTGTTGGCTCCTTTCCAAAGCCTTCCCTTGTCATTTCCTAGGACATGTCTGTCCTTTATAGCTTCCACTGGCCACTTAGGCACCAGCCAGGTACTCAAGGTAGAAAAAAGTGTCATCTACTTACTACCAAGTCTCCAGTTCCTAGTCAGGACCCAACACTCACCCCAGGGGAAACAATTTCCCAATGCACATGAGCCTCTCCATTCTCTAAGACCTTTGGACTACCTGTCCCACTCCTTACCCAATTCCTCAAAGAATGTCCTCTCACCTCGGCTCAGCATAGCCCCACTCTCCTGGTAGTCCTGGATCTCTAGATCTTTCATCCGAAGCAATGTTGACAACTCCTTCACGTGGCCCTGCAAGGCCAGACTCATGCCCATCAAAGGACGAATCAAATGTTGGGAGACCTTTGATGGAAAAGAGATATCAGTTAGCCAACAGATGCTTCCAGAGTACTCTCTGCATTAGGTACTAGAAGAAAACACCAAAGAATATTTTCACAAGAATTTATAGTTTCAAAGGCAAACAATCCATTTATTTTTTTTTTTTAGAGAGAGAATTTTTTAACATTTATTTTTCAGTTTTCGGCGGACACAACATCTTTGTTTGTATGTGGTGCTGAGGATCGAACCCGGGCCGCACGCATGCCAGGCGAGCGCACTACCACTTGAGCCACATCTCCAGCCCCAAGCAATCCATTTAGATAAGCATAAATACAAACGTAATAATTAAATAAATTTATTAAAGAGGCTCAAGGATTGCCTTTATGACCCAGATAGAATATGGATAGATTAACTTAAGAGTTGTGATTTAGAGACAATGATGTGATACAGTTGAGAAAGGGAAAGTATTTGCTCAACTCTCAGCAGAGGTTAAGAAATAAAAGCAGAATATTCAAGTAGCCCTCAAGAGAGTAAGTGTGGTAGACAGACATGGTAGCACATGCCTATAATCCCAACAACTTGGAAGGCTGAGGCAGGAGGATCGAAAGTTCAAGGCCAGCTTCAGTAACTTAGCAAGGTCCTAAGCAACTTAGTAAGACTGTACTTCAAAATTTAAAAATAGCAAATAGGGCCTGGGATATGGTTCAGTGGTTAAGCACCTGTGGGCTCAACACCTGGAACCAAAAAAAAGAAACAAAGAAGGTATGGCTAGTGGCTAAAACAGAGTACACCAGCTGGAGTATAACAGAAAACAAAAATTCAACAGAAAGTTGAGAGCTCTGAAGTTCAAGTTAGATCATTTATCAAGTGCCATTTCAGGGCTGATGATAGCCCAGAATTTCAATCTGTTTCCACAAATGCAGCAGAGTCTCAGGTTGTTGTTATAATAAAAGCACGTCAATTTCTAAAAGACTAGCCAAGAAATAAATAAAATACCCACCCAAATATACCTTGCTTTTAACAAGAAGTAAGAAGGATGCTAGCACAGTATGGAAATTCCTTAGAAAACTTGGAATGGAACCACCATTTGACCACCTATCCCACTCCTCAGTCTATACCCAAAGGACTTAAAATCATCATGCTACAGTGATGCAGCTACTTCAATGTTTATGGTAGCTTGATTCACAATACATAAACTATAGAAACAGATTATATACCCTTCAATAGATGAATGGATAAAGAAACTGTGGTATAAATACACAATGGAATATTACTCAGCCATAAAGAAAAATGAAATTATGGCATTTACGGGTAAATAGACGAAGTTGGAGAATATCATGCTAAGCAAGTAAGCCAATCCCAAAAAAACAAAGGCCAAATCTTTTCTCTGATAAGTGAATACTAACATAATGAGGGGAGCAGGTGGCAAGGGAAGAATGGAGGAACTTTGGAATGAGCAGAGTGGGGAGAGGGAAGGGGACGGTATGGCGGTGGGAGGTGGTGGAATGAGACAAACATTATCACCCTTATGTATGGGTATGATTGTATGAATGGTGTGACTCTGCATCATGTACAACCAGAGAAATGAAAAGTTGTGCTCCATTTGTGTAAAAATAAAATAAAATTAATAAAAAAGAAGGATGCTAGCAGAGCCATACTATAGTGCAGCTATAATGATGCTCTCATATGATAATGTAGAGCTGTACAGAATAATCATTTAATTCACCCCTGCAAGGTGTCCATTAGCCTCTCAAAGAAAATAACTAGGGGCTGGGATTGTGGCTCAGCAGTAGAGTGCTCGCCTAGCATGGGCGGGACCCAGGTTTGATCCTCAGCACCACATAAAAATGAAGGCATTTGTTGTGTCCATCTAAACCTAAAAAAATAAATATTAAAAAATAAATAAAGAAAATAACTAAGTCAATCACCTATTTGTGGCTTGGGGATGCTACCAGAGTTCCTTTCTTTTTCCCCTGAAGGACACAAATTAAAGAAGGAACTAAGAAGTGGTACTCCAGAAAGGGGTCAAGAAGATTTTTTATGGAAAAAGCCAGATAGTCAATATTTTCCACTCTGTAGACCATACAGTCTCTGACACAACTACTCAACTTTGCTGCTGTGGCACACTAAAGCAACCCCAGACAATATGTAAACAAAGGAGATGGCTGTGTTCCAATATAACTTTCCAAAAAGAGGCAATAAGCTAGATTTGGCCTGCTGGCCACAGTATACCAACCCCTGTCTTAGTCCTAAAAGGGAGCAATTTAAGACTAGAGGTGCAGCTTGGTGGCAGAGCACTTGCCTAGCATACATGAGGTTCCAGGTTCAATCCTAAGCACTGAAAACAAAATACAATAAATAAACAGGAAGGAAGACTTTAGACAGGATACCCCAACACAGGCTTGAAATGAAGAAAAGGTACCAGAGATTCTCATAGGATGTGCAAGCCAGATTAATCTGAATCAGGACCAGAAGTCTGAGCTCTTCAGACTCTTGTGTTTTCATTTTCCATTAATTTTTCTAGGTAAAAGTTACCACTAAAACTTCTACTTGTGTTGTGACTCAAATTATATGGAAAATACTTTTTTTCCACATTTCTCTAATAATCAATTAGGAAAGACTGGATGTGGGGAAGTGGGCAGAGAGAGAGTGGTGCTGGCATAGGGTGGAAGGTCAGAAGCCAAGTCAAACTCTAGATGTTCGTTATTTCTTTCTATCACACAGCACACCCCAACCTGGCACTGCCTCCTAACTCGGGTCTTCAGGACATTTAGGTCTCCAAGAAGTACTGCTCAGAATGTGGCGGAAGTGCAGTTTGGGGGAGATTTTTATGCTCTAGACCCAATTCTCTTTCCTAGAAATAGTTTTGTTAAGTTTGGTCCTGGTTAAAGTAGATCGGGAGGGATAAAAAGTTGAATATTTGTTAAATGCCAGGCTAGGTTTGGTGAGTTGGGTTGAAAATAATTATCACTGCTCAAGCAACCACACCATGCATTTGGTGGCACCACTCAAATAACAGGTACTCCTAAAGTTAATAATTAGCCTCTCTCAGGGAGTAAAGGGACACCTTAATAGCAATCTCTCCGAGTGGTGCAGAATATATCATGAAATATGGTAAGTTTTAATCAATGTTATGTCTAATTAAATATGATAATAATATACCAGGCTACTCAAAAGATCTATCAGACCCTAATGTCTATATAGCAGCAACAGCAACAGTTTAATCAGTACATATTTCATCTTTTCATCTGCTCGAATAATTTCATAGGGTATACACCTATAATCCTAGCAACTCAGGAGGCTGAGACAGGAGGATTGTGAGTTTGAGGCCAGCCTAGGCAACTTAGTGACATCCTGTCTCAAAATAAAAAATTTAAAAATGGTTGGGGATGTAACTCAGTGGTAGAGTGCTTTCCTAGCATGTGCAAGAACCAAGGTTCAACCCTCAGGAAATAAATAAATAGTAATAATTTCATAGGATTGTGTTATACCTTCTGAATTACTGAGGTATAATTACTTTCAAAGTTAAATGAACACTAAAATGATTTCCCTTAAACCAGATAGCTTTGCTCTGTTCTGGATAGAAATCTTGAAAATATGTATCAATGGTCATAAGAAAGAATGGTGCAGAGGCTGGAGTTGTGGCTCAGTGGTAGAGTGCTCACCTGGCATGCATGAGGCACTGGGTTCGATCCTCAGCACCACATAAATGTAAAATAAAGATATTGTGTCCATCTAAAACTAAAAAGTAAAAGAAAAAAAAAGGAAGAATGGCGCAAATGTGTAAACAGATCAAAGCAAATGCACAGACATTACAAGGAAAAATCCTGATGTGCTTTAGGAGGTCAGGATACTCCCCTTCACTTACAGACAGCAAAGGATAAAGAGATGCAGGTCACAAATCAATTCAACCAATACTTACCAGGAACCTAACATGTGCTCTGGGACCTCTGCTCTCCAAGAACGCCCAACAGTTAGAGAGGTTAGGAAGTGCGGTAGATACAGAGCAGAAGTTGCCAATCTTCAACCATTTAGAATTTCCCCCAACGTCTTCTGATTTCCCACAGAAATGCTCACAAGGCAGGAGACAGAATAGCAGTTTTCAACTCCAGATGAATCATATCAGGTGACACAGTGAAATGGGTAACAGACTAGAGAGCAGGAGACCTAGATTCCAGTCCTGACTCTCACATAACTTCAATATGAAAATGTCTTGACTTCAACTACTTTCATGGTCCTTGTCTTTTTCAAAAAGAAAAATTATGGAGTTAACTGTTTGCTCTCACAGATACAATATAATACTTAAAGTCGAGCAATGTTACACATATTTTCATTTAATCCTTACAAGTCTGTAAAAAGATTGTAATTGGTATCTCCATTTTATAGCTAAAGAAAAAAAACATAAATGGTGAAATATGAAAGTGCTGGGATTAATTACAAAATCAAGTCAGCTGGTTCCAAAGCCTATGCTTTCTACCACTAAAAACCTTGAGAAATGACTCCTGGGATCATAAAATGGTCAAAGGGGTGACAAATTTGAAAGGAAAAATATAGAATATTAAGAATTATATTACATACTACAAAGAGCATACAGTAGGAAGGAGGAAAAGAGATGAGAAGTTCATCACAAGTAGAGACCAGCTCAAAGTTATAAAGCAGAGACCCCAAACCTCATATGTTCCACAATATCCTGCAGCAACTTAAGAACCATTGAGTTGTTATTATGCACACATTATGTGGTAGAGGCTGTAGGTAATTAGGTATTCTCCTACTCTTTCTATGGCTGGTAGGACTGAAGGTCTCTGGAGAATACTCTGGCATTGGTTTAGCAAAATTAAAGATAAAAATACTCCTTGCCCTGGCTGTTCCACATTCAGAAATTTACTTATGCATTTATACACAGAAAAAGTAAATATAGGGTTAGTGATACAAGTGCTTGCCTTGCATGCAAAAGGCCCTGGATTCAATCCCCACCACCACAAAAAAATGAATGAATAAATAAATGTAAGGATATTCACAGTATATAACAAAACACTAGAAATAAAAAATGTCTACTAATAGCAGATCAATTAAATACATATTGATAAAACTATAAAATACTAAGTTGCCATTTAAAAATATTATACAGGTTTTCTAAACATATTGACATGAATGATCTCTATATAATTAAGTGAAAAAGTCAACACATTGAGCAGTGTACAGCATGATGCCATTTGTAAAACTATACATGTATTTGTAAATATGTATTTGACTGTGTATGTACATAAAACACACACACTACATAGAGCTTTTTTAAAGAATTTACAAGAAGCTAATAAAGGAATATCAGCAGTTGCTTTAAAGAAGGTAAATGAAGCTGGGTGCAGTGGTGCAATCACGCCTGTAATCCCAGCGGTTGAGGATGCTGAGGCAGGAGAACCCAGATGCTAAGCAACTCAGTGAGACCCTGTCTCTAAATAAAATAAGATCATGGCATTTGCAGGTAAATGGATGGAGCTGGAGAATATTATGCTAAGTGAAGTAAGCTAATCCCAAAAAACAAAGGCCAAATGTTTTCTCTGATATGTGGATGCTGATCCATAATGGGGATGGGGGCGAGCATGGGAGGAATGGAGGAACTTTAGATAGGGCAAAGGGGAGGGAGGGGAAGGAAGGGGGCATGGAGGTAGGAAAGATGGTGGAATGAGATGAACACCATTACCCTAAGTACACGAATGAAGACACGAATGGTGTGACTCTACTTTATAGATAACACGACATGAAAAATTGCGCTCTATATGCGTACTATAAATTGAAATGCATTCTGCTGTCATGAATAACAAATTAGAATAAATAAATAAAATACAAAATAGGGCTGGGGATGTGGCTCAGTGGTTGAATGCCCCTGAGTTCAATCCCTAGTAACCCCCCAACAAAAAAAGGAAGGAAAATGAGGGACTGAAGAGGGGCAGAAAGGAGACTGTTTTCTCACTGTAAACCTTTAAATGCTGTTTGAAATGTTTGACTTTGGATGAATTACCCATTCAAAAAAAAAAAGTGAAAACTATCACAAGAATGAGTAATAAACAAAAATTATAACCGCATGACCTCACAGACACACACACAGAAGCCTGAAATAGCATCTGCCTACACCCTTGCCAGCGCCTGCGGCTATGACTCTTCCCTATAGTTCCCCAGGCTCGGGGGTTTCCCTGGAATGACATTCCTCTTTTTTTAATGATGAGTATTTTATTTTCACTTAAAATACAATTGTTAATCAATTGTTCAAAGCAAATTTCTGCCCATAGCCAATCAAGGCTCACCCACCTAACACATTTTTTTTTTTTTTTGGTTTCTTCTCTTACTATAGCTCCTCAATTAGAATAGTGTACTAGTTTTTCTCCACATATTTCTTTACTTATAATAATATTAAACAAGTGCTCTTTTATTGTATCCTTTTAAAAATTATTTATTTATTTTTGTGGTGCAGAGGATCAAACCCAGGGCCTGGAACATGCTAAGCAAATGCTTTACCATTGAGTTATATCCCAAGCCCACTATATTCTTTGGAAAGAAGAAACTGTTGGAGTCCATCAGCCTCCAAGAAGAGCTGCCTCCAAAGTCACACTATCCTGTGTGTAGAACCATATAAAGCAAAGTGAAATTAAATATCACTTAAGATTCCCAAAGGCTGTGGAAATATTTGGGTTCATTCTTGAGGGAACAGTGCCACCTGGTGTCACTTAGAAAAAGTCATGAGGGATTTAAATGATACAGGTAAATTCTATATCTAAAACAGGATGGAAAATTTCACAAGAAGTTCAATTAAAATCCACAAATTTGACTGACTACATGCTAGGCAATATATTGGCCTTAGAAATACAGAAATGAGTGAGAAGTAGTTCTCTTAGCACTCAAGTCAAGTTTTACTGGGTTCCAGTTCATGAATAAACATCAGTGAACAGTTTATAAAAATGTCTTTTGTTCCATTCATAGTCATATAGGGATGCTAGAGCATCATTCCACCTGTGGGAGACTAAACACATAGGCTGGGAAATGATGCTTACTTTCTGCAGATCCCTCTGTTGAGAAACTTGTCCCCTAGTCCTCCCACAGAGAACACCCTGACCTCTAGTGCTACTAAAATAAGCCCTGTTTGTTATTCATGAAAACTAGTTCTCAATGTTCAATGCTTAATTTCTAATAAAAGCTCTTAGAGCACGAAAGCTACAAGTGAGCAGAAGATAATGACTCTCCTAGTCCCTAAAGTGGGCCTTCAGACTTGACTGATCTGGAGTTCAATTTCTAACTCACTCATTTATAACCTGGATGACTTTGGACAAGTTACCTTCAATCTCAGTTTCCTGCTCTGGAAAATGAGGACAGTAATACATATTTTGCTGGACCGTCATTAGGATTAAAAGATCAGACAATGTTCAGAAAATAACTAACATCAGCACTTAGTCCACCGTTATGAGCAGTCCTGATAAAACACAAGTAGAACCATGTAAAAACCCCTATTTTAAATCCACCCCATTTCTCATGCCTTCCTATCTATACTACGGTTATAAAGTTCCTGAACTCGGTCCACACTTACACATCTCCATACCTGTTTGCTGAGAATGATTTTTCTCTTTATTTTATCCCAAATCATCATCAAAACAACTCAGAAATTCACTTTCCAAAGAGGTTTTCTCTAATCCTCAAGCCATTTGGGGCCTGTCTCAGTGACAGAACTTAACACACTTTATCATAATTTCCTTTCTGTCTCCTCATTAGTATAAACTCCAGGAGGAAGCCATATACATATGTATACACACACACACACACACACACACGTTTTGGGATACTCAGTAATTAGCAGCACATAGGTAGTTCAATAAATAAACTAATGAATAAAGTCCCTGAATAAAGTATGTAGGTCTGACCCCTGCTTATACCAGTCAAAAAATCTTTCTTATTTGCCACTGTCTGGTCAAGGAAAGTTTTCTGATTGGAGAAGAATTTCAAACAGGGTTTACAAAAATATAAAGACTCCTAAAGCTGCATCTCAAGCAGCTGGCATCCTGACGTCCACCCCAAATCTGACTTGAACTTACCAGGGAAGGACTAGCTAGAATGCAGTGGAAGTTCCAATAGAACGGGAGACCAGAAAGCTCACTCCGCACCCGTAGAATCAATGCCTCTGCCACACGATCACAAGAGAAGGTCGCTTCACTAGGGTGAGCAATGTCCTTCAACAATGGGCGAAGCAGATTATCCAAGTGACAGAGAAAAGCCGCAGGGGGAGCAGTCAGACGCTTGTTCAGCTCCTGAAGAAACAGTAGTTTTACACACTGAGGGTGCTAAAAGGAAATTAACTCCCTCTTGAGCAGTAGCAAAGGAAAGTCCTGGTTAATGTGAAGACAATGGGCATGAGAGGAAGGGAAAGGAAGAGAAAAACATCACAACAGGAAAGAAGAAAACAAAAACAAGAGTAACAAGAGTCACAGAAATCAACTGGCCTACTTCAAAGTTCTGTGTTAGGCAAGATCAATTTACAGAAGACCTGTATGGATTAGACAACATAGGTCACATTATGCATTATCATGCTACAGAAACACATATACTATACCTTCCTTCTCTCTCCCCTTCCTCCCTTCTCCCCTCATCCCAGAAAGATCCCACAGCTACAGATAGAAGTGTAGGACATAACTGGTTGAACATTCCTTGGAAGAAGAAGTGTTCCATATTTCAGAGTTTTGGATTTTGGAATGTATGTATAAGAGTTTACCGGTTGAGCAACCCAAATTTCAAAATCTAAAATGCTCTGAAATGTGAAACTTTATAAGTGCCCTATGCTCAGAAAGTTTCATATTTTAGATTATTTTGAATTTTGGATTTTTAGATGAGGGATGCTCAACCTGAAACTGGAATTGTATCAACTCATTTCAATCTTCCTTGCCAACATACAAGTGGTCAAGCTGGTTGACGTTAACATCCCCTGACCTTCACTAGGAAAGAACACATCCCCACAATGGAACTTCTCTTTACACTTACCTTGGCTCGCTGGCTGACCACACTAGTATCCACCTGTTCATGCCACACCTGGTGAAGATCCGAAACAAGCAAGGTATAGCCCTGTTTGGTGATATAAGCCTTGGCCAGGAGGGAGTTCTCAGCAAGCTGTAGCCAAGCCCATGGCTGCATCAACAGGCCTTGCTCCAATTCCTCCATCTGCAGAAAAGGCCCAATTTAGCAAAGTATCTCCAGAGTAATGTAGGCCTAGGAGGGTGCTCAGACAACTATGCATCAACTACAATCCTGTGAAAATCCTGACAAAATAGGAAACATGGATTTACATTCTTCTTATTATTATTGAACCAGCTGAGCACCAACCTTACTACCACTTAAAATCTAGTTAGAGGGGCTGTGGTTGTGGCTCAATGGCAGAGCGCTTGCCTAGCATGTGCGAGGCACTGGGTTCAATCCTCAGCACCACATAAAAATAAATAAATAGAATAAATGTATAAAAAAAGTGTTGTATCTGTTTTTTAAAAATCTAGTTAGAATCTTTTTCCACATAAAGTTCCTAGAAGGTAGAGAATAGTACTTTCTTCCATAATATTTAAGCCTCAGCCAATTGGTATGTTTCTACTCTCTCATAATTTAATGTGAAACCCAAACCATTCTTGTTGCACCTTTACCACATTAGAAATCCTAATAAATGTCAATGCTATCATTTCCCAGAACTTTTAGAAGAGAAAGATAGTTCTTGTATTGTAAAACATCATCAAGTCTTGTCAGGGGCAGGATATACAAATTATTTCATCATCATCTAAAAACAAAACTCTAGAAGCTCTCAGGAATTTTTTTTAATCTCTAAAACAGAGCTTCCTAATGTAGAGCTTATACACCCAAATCTTCTAGAATTATATGAAAAAGTTATGCATATATGTGCATACAGAAGCAGTCCATCTCTATAGTCAAATTCAAATTTTTGATTAAACCAAGGAACATTCACACGTAGCTCAGTTCTGTATGCACAATAATGCATAGTGTGATCCATCACCCTCCTGCACTTTTATTTTGAGATATGTCTTATTAAGTTGCTGAAGCTGGCCTTGAACTTTTGATCCTCCTGCCTCAGCCTCATGAGTCGCTGGGACAACAAGCATATGCCACTGTGCCTAGCTGTGGTCGAATTCTTAGAGATTAACAGCACAAACATAGAAAGGAGCTAATAAGCTCTGTGACCAGGAGCAACAGAAAAGACCCAAATCCACTTTTACAAATGACCAGGAGGTCATGAATATAAACCACAGCACACCACAGAAGAAGAGATAATTAACTTCCACTTAACTCATATCCCGACTCCAAGGCACAGCCACCAATGACATCATACTCTTTGCACAGCTTGGAACTCTTGGAAAAGTTTGGAAATCAACTTTTCTATGTAGCCTTAACCTAGTAGATATTCAGTAAAAATGACTGCTTAACAGAGCTTATTTTTCCTGTGTGTGGGGGGAATAATATAGTTTCCTCCATTATTCCAGTCTATAAATACAAAATGAAGAGAAGTACCAGGAGGTGAAAACTTAGAATATAAAGAAAATAATAAAATTCCTGTTACATTTCATTAACATAGTCATTTCCAACTTAGTCTAAATCATCATTCTTTCAACCATAACCTAGTTTTCAAAGAGTGACCTTGTGACATTATTTAATTTGCACTGTAACTAAAGAGTCATGCCACATAATAACATTTCAGTCAATGACAGACCATATGTATATGACAGTAGTTCCATAACAGTATACTGCTAGTAACATTGCAGGCACTTTAGTTTGCATTTTCATACACTCTATGGTGTTTGCACCACGATGAAATCACCTAATACTGTATCTCAAAATGTATCAATCTTAATGACCCATGACTGCATGACTTACTACTATATGGTGACTTATCTGCAGCAGCCAAGGCGTTGTTGGGAGATGATGTGTCCAGTCACATCACTCACTGCTGTTCCTACAGGGCAAAAATGACCTTGGAATGATTAAGCTAGTCCTCATTGGACAGAGTTCCAATGAGCTCCATACCACCTACCGCCAAAGATCACAAATGCAAATTAAGTTGCCAAACCCTTCAATTTCCCTTATAGAAATTCCCCAGTGTTCACTTTTTTTTAAAGAGTCACCAAAATGCGGCTAATCATTCTAGTCCGTCCTTCTGAAAGCCAAGAACCTCAGAACCCTCAAAATGATGGTTTTTGTTTGATGAAAGTGTGTAGTTTAAAATGTGGCTAGGGTCAACAGGCCCTGTAAAAACGTCGGAATATTTCTGCAACAGACCCACGTTGGCTTCTCTCACTAGCCAGGCCCATTCGAGACTGAGGCCTCTAAATTTCATTCCTCTGTTTTCTTCAAGGCCGCCTTTAACATTCATGTTAACTGTATTCATCCGTTTAGTACTCTTGTCTGAAGAAGGGGGGTGCGAGGGTTCCGCCCCTCGGCCAGCAGACCCCTCTCAGGGCAGTTCCTCCACTACCCTGCAGGGGGCAGTAAGCCCTAAAGAGATTCAAGCCGGGCCACTCCTCGTCCCCTGGGAGAGGGCGAACCTTGAGTCCCAAACCACAGCCCACCCCAGGAACCCCGCCTAGCGTCCAGTTTCCATCTCCCCCCCCCCCCCAGAAGAGACTCCGCGGTCCGCCTTTCCATTTCTATAGCACCGGCTGCACCAAGGCATAGTCAGAACACCTCAGCGGGTAACACAGTGAACACCTCCGGTTCGTAGCCCGGCTACACCAAGTAGCAGGCCTAGGAAAAGCCTCACTCACGCCCCCAAAACGCCGAAGTGCGGTCGGAGCGCGCTGCGCACGCACAGCCCCGCCTACTCTTGGAGGCCTGCCCAAATCCCCGGCTGCTCGCTGTCCATTCTGGGAAAAAGCGTCCGTGCGGGGCCCAACCCGCAGAATCCGCGCAGCTCCACGGCGCCCGAACCGGTCCAGACCCTGGCCTGACTTGAGCTCGATACCACCTACCGTCAGCTCCTCTAGAACTCACACCCTCCTCACGGCAGGCCCGTCTGCCCGCGGAAACTGAAAGGCGTAGGGTAGAGACCGATACCCCCCACGGAGGCGGGTCTTCCACGCGGAGGCGGAGGCGGTGTCCAGGCCTGGCGGGGGCGGGGCTTCGGGTTCACTGAGCAACTTGTAGGAGCGCGGAAGGACTGGAGGGTCACGGCAGCCCTTACTAGGGAGGTTGAGGGGTAGTGGTCCTTCTAGGAGTCAGATCAGCAGCGGAGAAAGAATACCAGAAGAAATGTAGGCGAGTAGGATGTGGGTTTGAATTTGTCAAACCCAGATTACTTCTGTTCCCACCCATACTGTCCAGACTTTTCCTTTTTTAATAAAATGAAAGAATTGGATTTCACCATATCATCTCTGGAGTCTTGGCCGCTAATAGAGCAGTCGAAGAGAGGAGGCTCCTAGGCATAAATTCTGATTTCATCCTTTACCTCCTCTGCATCATCTCACCCTTTATGCACCCCCATACTCATAACCTATCACCACTTGTTAGAGTCTATAAACAAGTCAAAATAACACCTGGCATTTTGCCAGGGGAATGTTAGAGTTCATAAACAAGTCTGGATGGTGCCTGGCAAAATGCCAGAGGGAGAGGTTTGAGAAGTAACAAAAGCGAGCCATTAAGTGTGGAGATTCCTGATTGGTTGACTGATGTAATTAGATAAGCTGTGTGGAATGTATAAATACTGCTCCTGTCCTGCAATAAAAGGCTCCTACTCCTGCTGTATCAATCTACACAAGTTGTTCGTCACCCCCCGGTTATTTTGCTGCAGCCAGACTGCTGCAACCACTGAAGACTTGAAACCCCTCATCAGTACTTTGTACAACTCATGCCTTTGTTCACGCTGGATTCCTGAGCCTGAAAATTTCTCATCTGTTTTCCAAAACCGGAATCCTTGCTTGTCAAGGTCACCCTCAGCACTGCTGCTTTCATAAAGCCTTATTCCCAGAATGAACTACTTCTTCCTCTGCTCCCATGGTATTATTTTTATTACAGATTGCCTTCTGCTTTGCATTTTAATAAGAAATTACATATATCTTTTTAAACCTTAAATACCCGGAGAGGACAAGGACCCCATCATATTCATATTTTAGTTTCAGAACCTAGCACATGAGAAGCATTAATATTTATTAAGTGAATGCTAGGGTTCAGATGACATTAATAGTTTATAGGAAAAATCTCATTCATTCATCATGATCCACTAAACCATGGCCCCTGCTCTATAATAGGCCTAATTAAGAGAAGAAAAGGCAACCCATCCTACTGGGAAATGAGACCTCTAGGTGGGCCCATGACACATACACAGTCCCTCTGAGCCTGGGAGCTGATTCTCAATGAAAGCAGAAAGAGGAGTCTTGATAATTACTTTGACCTAAATCCTTCTCTGCTAGATGCAGGGCATGACTCCCCACAGCCAGGCAACAAGTCTGCGGTCTCTCCTGGCTCAGATGGCCCTCCTTCCTCATCCCCAAGGTCTTCAGGCATTGGACAGAGGAAATGAAGGGGCTGGGGAATGCAGGGACACATGTCTTGAATGGGGAAAGGAAGCCCATATTCTTGAGCAGCCTTCTCCCTGGACTTCTGAGACATTTGAGTCTCTTGGGCAACAAAAGAAGATAGCAGCCCCTGACTGAGGCCCCGCTCAAGCCTTGTACCTGTGGGGGGGAAAAAAAAAAGTTTGTCAGGTTGTGCTCAAACCAGGGAGTGATAACTTCCTGGCCATGCCCCAGGCAGCTAGGGCCTGATGTCAACTTACCAGAAATAGTGTTCTCCAGAAGAAAGCCCAAGAGTCCAGCCAGAAAGATGGGCTCTGCCAGCAGAGAGCACAGTAACACATCCAAGGGGCTCCAGCCTACAAAGGGTTAGGACCAGTCAGGAAGGGAACTCTAATACTTATTCAGAGCCAAGGAGTCTTATCCTTCCAGACTTAAACCTAAGTCTTGGACTAAAGACAGACCTTTCTAAATTGTCATTATACCTCCCTTATCTTTTAGCCCTCTACTCTCCATTTTCCTCACTGAGGCCCTTTCTCAAGGTTCCTTGCTCAACACCCTATCTCCTGAGCATCCATACAACCTTCACATATGCTTAGATATGCTTTGATTGTTCCAGGCTTCATTTCTCTGGGATTTTGATATTAAAATCCCCAACCTTATCTCCTATTCCTTATACCTGCTATATTTTATCTTAAGTCTCCCAACCTCTGTACTATTGGCTTTTTGAGCCAGATGAGGGACTGTCCTATGCATTGAAGGATTCTTTTTTTTTTTTTTTGGGGGGGGGCGGGTACTGGGGATTGAACTCAGGTGCTCTACCACTGAACTACATTCCCAGGACCCTCTTTTTTCATTTTGAGACAGGGTCTCACAAGTTGCCCAGGAAATATAGCAACATCTCTCCCTGTACTAATTGCTAGTAACAATACTCCCTTCCCTCATTTGCAGTAGTCAAAAGTGTTTTCCCCAACATTGCTAAATGTTCCCCATAGGGGAAAAATCACCCCCAGTTGAAAACCATTGCTCTAGATAAGCTAAGCTATTGGCTGCTCTCCTACTTCTAAGTCTTTGTTTATCATCAAAAATGATCTTTTTACCAAATATGTTTACCATCCTTCAAGACCAGCTTAATGTTACTGGATCACCATTGAGCCACAGCTCTTTATCTAAATCTTTCTTGTTATTTTCCTGCATACCTCATGTCTTTTACTAGACTATAACATCTAGAATTCCTTTGTATCCCAAGTTGCTAGCGTGGTGTTCAACAAATGGATAAATTATTTATTCCAAAGCCCAGAGAAGATTGTGGGGCCAGGAGTCCAAACAGTACTTTTCCACTACTGAACGAACTCCTCTTTCCCTCTCCACCTACCTGTGTTAAATGGGACTGGGGCTTCCCGAAGCCATCTTGGCAGCAACAGGGCCATAAAGATGGAAAAGCCCACAATGAAGACATTCCGTCCAGAGTCAATGTCAGCTAGGTGGAAACTGGAGAATCCAGCAGACAGAACCACAGCCTGGGTCACCCCTAGTACCCCACCTGTCTCATATAGAAAAAAAATCAAGAGGGTTGAGAGAGGGAGAAGACACAGTGTATCGTGGGCAGGCGGATTATAATGGGGGGACTACCAAAAGGCCTTTTTCAGATTTTTCAGGAGTCCCAAAAGTCCATTCAAGAAACCAAGATGTTGGGTCAAAACAATGAGGGCAGCTGACACATGTTCATATCCACCCATCCAGGAAGGCTATTTAGAGAGAAAGGATGCCTGACAATACATCCACTCACCAAGCACAGGCAGCGGGATTGTAGTGAGGAACTGAGCCAGCCTAGGGGAGAGCCCAAGCCCCATGCAGAGCAGCCCCACTATGTGGGTCACTCTCTGAGATCCAGCCTGCAGGAAGAGATACTAGAAACAGCCACTTCCTTGGACTGTCCCAGATCCTTGCCTGGCTGACTCCTTCTCATCATTTAGATCTCAACTTTAATGTTACCATCCAAGTAGCATTGTAACCACTCTCTGTCTAAAGATGACTTCTCTGCTCAGCCACTATTCCACAACTTTGTTTTCTTAATAGCACTATCACTCTCTGAAATTACCTTATTTACTTTATTTTCTTCTCCTGAGGAAGTCCCCAAGAGAGTATGACTTTATCTGACTTGTTCTTCACTGGAACCCCAGCCTTGGTAGAGTGCCAGCTGTCTCTGATGTGGTAATTTGTTGTCTTGGCCTCATTGCTAGCCTCTTACCACTTCTAGGTACAGCCCTAAGTGAAGTCATTAATGTGAACTGCCTAAGTGCTGGGCACAGCTGGCAAACAGTCAATGTGTTCTCTACTTTCTACTGAACCTCCAGTTCCCCACCCCTGTCCCAGGTTCCCATACCTGGAAAAGACTCACTGTGCCCACATTAGGGAAGCTGGATGCTGTGCCCATGGGGCTCCCCAGCAGCCCAGCCAGCACACTGCCCAGCCCCTCCAGGCTCAGCCCTCGATTGCAAGCATGTGGAGGTGGAGGAGGCAAGTGCAGCAGCTGGCCACACAGAGCATAGCAGCCCAGGGAACTGGTGGAGGCTGCCAGGGCCATAGAGATGCCTGCAGTTAGAGCCCTGGGTGTCAACAAGGGCCAGTCCCATTCTCCTGAGGAGGGAAAGGAGCCACCTTAAGGCCAGACTCAATTCTGGAACACCCCTCTACCTACAACAGCCTGTGCCATAAGAATGCTAGAAGCCATTGTCTTTGAAGATATCTTGGGACAAAACCCCTGAACTCTAAGGAGAAAGACCCATCTCTTTACTGTGGTCTACAAGACTTTCTTTGGTTTGACCCTTAGCACTCTCTCTCTAGCCTCATCTGCCAAACTTCACCTCAGTTTCCTCACCCTAGACACACTACCTTTGCTTTAGGCCCTGGACTTGCAGTGCTCCCTGCCACCACAGTGTCTTTGTACATGCTATTCTCTTCATCCACAATATTCTCTCCTGCCTCTTGACAGTTAGCTCCTACTCATTTCTCAGATCTCTGCTCAATGACCACTGGAAGAACACCTTTCCAGACTTTCCTGATGATGTCAAATCTCCCATTATTAGCTCTCACCATGCAATGTAGCTCCTTTTTTTCCCTCTCAATACTGGGATGGAATCCAATAGTAGAGATGGAATCTCTACTACTGAGCTACACATCCCCTCACCCCCTTTTTAAAAATATTTCTTTTTTTTAGTTGTAGATGGACACAATACCTTTACTTTATTTATTTTATGTGGTACTAAGGATCAAACCCAGTGCCTGACACATATGTGGCAAGCACTCCCCCATTGAGCCACAACCCCAGTCGCTAGCCCCTCTTTTTAATTTTTTATTTTGAGACAGGGCCTCCCTGAGCAGCTCAGGCTGGCCTCTAACTTGTGATCCTCCTACTGCAGCCTCCTGGGTCACTAGGATTATAGGCATGTACCACCATGCCTGGCTAGTGTAATTCCTCTTGAGTATACTTACCACAATTGCAATTCCACATTTACTCAGGTCCCTATTTAATTAGTATCTATATTCCCCAATTGACTGCCAGTCTCATGAAGGCAGATACTATGTCATATTCATCACTATGTCCCCTGCCACATGCCTAGCACACAATCAGCACTCAAAAGAGCCTTATTAATTGATGGGCCGGGTTTGATCCCTAACAGTACAATAGGTAAATAGATGAATGAGGACATTTTGCATACTATGCCTCAAAAATAATCTTTCTACATAGATCACCAGCTGAAAAGCCCTTGGAGCTCAGTAATGTAAATGTGTAAGTTGGGTAAGGAGTGAGCGGTGGAGCTATATATGTCTGTCTCAACACCAACCCCAATAAAATGCTGCAGGGAGGGGCTGGATTGCCCCTCAGGCTGGCAATTTCTCTTTCCTGTGTGTTTTAAGAAACACAAGAAGTGAAATCCACCAAATCTAAGTTCAAAGAAATAGATACCTTGATTTGAGTAAGAGGACAAGGGCCTAGGAAAGAACCTACCTGGGTGAGGCAGCCAAAACCATGGTGCCTGGGTGGGGGCAGACAGCTGCAGGGGGATGATGCTGAGACCCAGGAGGGCAGAAATGAGCCACACACAGGCCACAGGGATCAGCACCTGAGGGGCAAGACTGAGAACCTTGTGAACCAGCTTTGATTGGGTAGACAGAAGCCCAAAACTCGGGGGCCAGGGAGCATTCTGTGCCAGCCCTTCTAGCCTCGACTACCCAGCCCCCACATACCGAGAGGAACCGAAAGGCAGGGACATGAATATGAGTTGAAAAGGTTGAAGTTGGCCTCCAGGGACATGGGGGTACCTGGAAGGAGCCCAGGTGCTGAGAACAGACCACCATGAGCAGGATAAGCCTAGAAGAGAGAAGCAGCTTTAGGGACAAGAGGCAGCAGAATCCTGAGGGATGGCAATGAAGGTGGGAGTGAGAAGAATATCATAAAAAGGGTCCTAGCACCACAAAAATAAAGGGGGTCCTAGCAAAGAAAATTCCATGAAAGGGGTAGAGAGGTACATGGGGGACATGAAGAGACAGTAAGACTCTCAAGGAGACTGGATGAATCAAGAAAAAACCTTGGATTTGAAGTCTAAAAGGTGGTTTCCCTGCCCAGACTGTTGCTGATTCTGATAGGGCCAGCAGCTCTGTCCTCCCCCAGTCCCGCACACCCCACTAGGCACTATCCTGTGCCTCAGGACTCACGTACAGCAAGGCCAGGCCCCAGTGAGCAGAGCAGAATTGGGCCACCTCCCTGTGGGCAGAGAGCCCTGCCACAACCAGGCTGGGGGCCAGCACCAGGGGCCCACAGTGTAGGAACAGGCGTCCAGGGGCCCCTAGCAGCCCCAGCATGCCTTGCAGCAGCCCAGATACCACCACTGCCCCTGAAACCTGGTAGAAAAGAGAAGATGAAGAAAAAACTTTCTGCTCAGTAAAGTTAACCTCAGCCTGGATTTGCTAACCTCAGGGACGGGACCCTGCCCCAACTTCTTTCCCCAGAGTATCTCAGAGTATCTGCATAATGGAAATGAGAACCTCCCAGGCCTGGGCCACCTTAACCCTCCTGCTTCCCATCCCTAGGCACTCACCTCTCGAAGAGAAGTGTTCCAGAGCTCCCGGCTGTGGCAGCCAGGCCTCCTACACAGGTGCAACACAACGGAGCCTGGGAATAGTTTATGGCATGAAAAGGAGAAAAGTAAATGGGATGGAAACCCATGGCTCTCCAGTCCTCACTGGTGCCTGGCACAACTCCAAGACCCTAAGCGCCCAGAAGTCCCACTACTGCCCAACCTCAATCCTGGGCCCAACTCTCCATGTATGCTCAGATGAGCTCTCAACTCCCCTGCACCATCACCCTTGCTCTGTACTCACTATTTCCAGGTGTCTGGATGGCCAGAGGTAGCTTCTGGCTGGTCAGCACCAGAGCAGGGATAAGGAACTCTAAGGATGGAGCCTGGACAAGAGGCAGCCTGTAGGAACAGCAGCCCTAGCAGCTCTGGAAACATGTGGCAGCCAATAGTACTCCCCCCTATGCCTCTCCTCCCACTGGAGCCATCACCCTGTCTCCAAGGGGTTCCCTCACCTGCTGCCCATCCCAGTTTGTAGGACTGTAGACACACCACATGAAAAGAAACTGGAGGCCAGGAGCTGAGCAGGCGGGTAAGAGAGTCCTCCTGGGGGAAGACTACGAAGCAGGAGCAGGTGGGAGGCACAGAGCAGAGAAGCCAGGACCAGGAAATGCTGCAGGTGGAGGAATGGGGAGGGACAGTCTTCGAAATTCCTATTTCTAGAGGGCTTTCATGCCACATGATTCTCCCCAAGCACCCCCTTCAGCTAGCACCAACTTCTGTACCTCTACTTCCTACCTGCAGAGCCAGAAGACAGCTGAGGCCCCAGGTGGGAGGCCCACATGGAGAGGCCCAAGTGTGGGAAGAGGAATTCTGGGGAACAGCCAGTGGCCGTGGTAGGGAAACTGGGGCATCCTGGGAGCCCACAGAGTGGAGTGGAATGGGATGAAGGTGTGATCGGCTCATGCTGCCCTGCCTTTGTGGTATCTTGGCTGCCCTGAGCCAGAGTTAAGTACAGAGTAAGAGGTAGGAGTTTGGGTGAGGTTAGTTGCCAGAAGTGGGGAGGGGGTGGGGGTTTCAATGAAGCGGAGCAAAGGGATGAGGGTTTTGGGGCTGGACGCGGCCCTTTCACCTTTGCCCAGTTCTTGTGCAAATTCCATCAGCCATTAACTGGGGAGCTGAGTTCTGGACCCCTCCCCCAAGAATCTTCATTCCCTGCTCCTAGACCAGGCTCTGGAAGGTAGGAGAACATGGACAACTATCAAAATAGCCTGGAAAGGTTTTGCAGACTATTTCCTCCCACAACCATTTATAACCATCCCTATTAGATCCACACTTTTCAACCATATCAGGACAGGTCCCTGGATCATCTCAAAATGAAACTCATATGAGCTGGATGCAGTGGAGCACAGCTGTAATTCCAACAACTTCAGAGGCTGAGGAAGGAGGATCACAAGTTAGAGGCCAGCCTGGGGGCAAGTTAGGGAGACCCTGTCTCAAAAAAAAACTGGGGATGTAGCTCAGGGTTAAAAGGCCTCAGGGTCCAATCCCCAGTACTGGGGGGGCGGGGAATGGCAAAAACCTCATGGATAATATGCCCCAAATCACACACAACTATGACCCAAACTCCATGTTATATATTCTCTGTAAGAAATACATTTATAACAACATGTATTTTAATGCCTAAAAGCTTGGACATGGATAAACCAGAAGACAACGGAGCATTCCAAGTCCCACACCCATATGTAGAATCTTTGAGGATGTGACAGCTACTGTGGCAGCTAATAATGGGACTTAACTGGCAACTGAGTAACTCAGATGCTACCTTCAGTACTTGATCAAGTGGTGACTTGATGTCGCAAAATGGCCGACAAACTCTTGGTAAAGCAATGAACATGACAAATCTGTTTTAATTTTCATAGAAGTTCATACCTGACAAATCAAGTCTTCTTCAAAATGTACAAATTCATGTTTATACATAAAAAGATAGTTCCAGGCTCAATAAGGACTTCAACATGCACAATAACCATCTAAGTCATCCAAAATTTGTCTTGGGAATTCTTCCTAGCAAGAGATGTCTTGAGTATCTGAGAATGTCTAGCATCCTGCCCAGACCGACTAAATGCCCCATACATCCCCCCTTAAATTCTTGACAACCAAAAAATAACTGATATTGCCAAAATGGCCCATAGAGGGCAGTGCCACCATGTTGTTCATGATCTTCAGCAGCCTAACCTGCTGGGCCACCACCCAATCTGTTCTTCCAATGACAACCTAGCTTCAGCATTCTTTTAGCAACACCTTTCACCATGTCAGCCAAGTGAAGAGGCCGTCAGCACCAGCACAGAAAGGTATCCTTGGAGTTGCCCTCATGAAGCTTAGGGGACTGCTAGATACTTGGTCTCACAAGGGTAGTGCTCACATGCCACAGACAAGGCCAACCCTGGACATGGGACAGCCATCATTTGTGTCCCACGGCACCCCAAGTAAAGCAGGGCTAGGGCCCTAGGGTGCTGGAAGCAGGGTCAAAGAGAAGTTTGAAATGGGAACCTATGACTCGCAAATGATACATTAAGTAAACTGGGTGGGGTTCAAGGAAAACAGCTGCAAGATGATGGAATCAGAAAATAGGGAGGCTTGGAAGGCAAACACAGGAGGAAAGATCTTCAAGGCTGCCGCAGAAGGAAAAGTCCAGGCCATGCAACTGAAACTGTTTATTGAAATCTCAGTTCTATAAAAGCATGAAAAACCCAGATACAAAGCAATAGCCGGAAAGGCCTGTGAAGAGAACACCTGGAGAGAAACTGGAAGAGAGGGAGTTACGGAGCAGGGTACTAAGAGGTTGGAGACAGAAGGTCAAAGTTGAAGGTCCCAGCAGTCTATGGGTGTAGAAAGGCTTTCCTGACTCACCCATCTTTCCCTAAGCAGATTTCACCTTGGTCCCATCAGTCCCTGGCTCTTCTGTCTCTGGGACATCACACAAGCCCATGTGGACATTTCCTTTCTCCCCTCGCCCTAGTTCCCCCATCTCCCGACCTTTTCTTTTTCACCCAAGGAAACTCAAAAGCAAAAGCCTAGAAGAGCCCCAGGGACCCAAAATGGGGGCTTCTCCTCTGCCATTTGTGACATGCCCGTGGTCACCAAGCTGAAGTTTTCCCTGACACCATCACTGCCCTGGGCCAAGCAGCCAGCCATTAAGGTCTGGGAGAGTGAATGACCTTTTATAGCCTTTCTGCCCCTCAATCCCCTAAGCTTTTACCCAGGAGGACAGGGGATCAGCCAAAGACCCAGAGAGGTAGCGAGGATTTAAGTCAAACTTCCCTCTCCCAGGTTCTCAGGGACTCCCAAATCCTCTTAATGCACTCCTCAGAGCTCTACCTAGCCTGGGAAAATGAAAGACTTGAGACGAGCCAGCTCCATGACACTGAAAAGGGAACACTGCTGGGGATGGGTGAGCGGAGAAGCCATTGGGCTCCAGGGCCAAGGTGGAGCCAGGCCATGGGTGTGGTACCAGGGGCTGGGAGGCCCAGCAGACACCGTGCGATTGGGGTGGTGGCAGGCACGGCACGTTGGAGGATCTCTCTGGACATTCTGGCAAAGGCGGCAGTTATGGAGAAGTGTGGGTGGGGCAGGGGGATCTGGAGGAGGTAGTGTTGGGGGGGTCAGTGAGGCCAAAAGACTGCCCCAGAGTGAACGTAGCCCTATGTCGCCTTCCATGCAGGTGGAGATGTTAACAGAAGACGGCAGGCACTGTGGCACAGAAGTTGGTAAACAGGGCTCCAAGAGGCCCTTGGAGGTCAGTCCAAGGTCAGGAGGGCCAGGTGGGGGACTGCAAGACAGCCCCAAGGACTGGTGTATTACAGCCACTGATGCCACAGCCAAGGCCACACTGCTCACGTATGCCATGGCTAACAGACAGGAGAACTGCAGGAGAGAAGGCAAGAAAGCACCAGTTTGCTTATTTTAACACACACACCCATCTTCTATAAAAATATTTTTTCAAATCAGAGCTCTCCAAAGCTCCTCTAACTTCCCCTCACTCATCTACTCCCAAACCCCATTTCCTAAGCCTTTCAGTGTTTTGCTTTACAACACCTACACATCAGCCCATTCAAGATCCCTCTCCTTTCTAACCCCTCCTCACCTTAACCAGCCTCTGGCAGAGGGAGCCCAGAGCCAGCTGCCAGGTTGGTTGCTCCAGCAGCACACACAAATCTGTGTAGGTATACCAGCCCCGCCGTCGACCTTGCTGCTCAGCCACACTGGTGGGAGAGAAGAAGAGAAACAGAGTCTTCAACTCTGCTGCAGCTATACTAGGGACACCTTCTTACCCCTCAGGACCCACCAGAAAGCACTGCAGAACTCAAATTTAAGTGCTCAGATTCCAGAAGCAAAGAAAAAGACCAAAATCTGTATTTTATTTTTATTTTTGCAGTGCTGGAAAGGTACATATTTCCAATAATCTACTCTCAGCCTCCTAAAAGAGAGCAGGCAGGTTTAGGAATCACCACCTTGGGCAACTCTCTTATTTGTTTCCTTCCTACCCCAAGTCACACAGACCCTCATTTCTAGATTCTATGGCTTAGGCCTTAGCTTCTCAATCCCTCAAGCCTTTCTTTTTGATTCATAGAACATACCAACTCTCCAGCCAGCTCAGCACCTCAAAGATCTCCCTCGGGTCAGTGTACAGACTCCAGTCCTGTGGGCAAGAGGGAAGAGCATCAAACCTGACTTGGATGTGAGCCACAGTCATCTGAGAACATGAGCCATGGCAGAAACTACAAACTCTACATAGCTGACATTTACTCTGTATTTACATTACTGTCTCAAGAGCTTTTACATAAGCTGATATAATACACAAAATACCTACTTTCACATTATACCCTATATTAAGGGCAAAGACAGAAAATAACCCAGAGAATGGTCCATGTCCACAGAGCTTAGAGTGTAGAGGCAGAATAAGTTTGGAAGCAAACAGTCAGAGCCCAACATGACAGGTCTGACTCAGTGTGCCCTGTGGGGTCCTAGAAGAATAAAGGAGGGAAGGAAGTACTCTACTTCTGGCCTCACCACTCCAGGAACTTCCTAAAGGTTAATCCTGAAAGGATAAGAAGGTAAAACAATTAACAAAAAGGCACAAAGAGGACAGGCAAAAAGAGAAATGAAAAAAACAGCAGAAAACTGAGAGAGAACAAAGAACGAAAGGAAGGAACAGACGGACCAGGGGAAAAAAGTGAGAGACAGAATAGCTACTTGCCATGGCACGTAGGAAGCTCCTCTCCAAGGCGTTGAGAGTGGGCACAGCCACACCTCCAGCAGCTCCCCATTCATCACTGAAAACCTCCTCTTCCTCCCCTTCATCATAGAGGTACTTACTGGCCACCATCTGCATAGGAACCAGAAGTGGCATCAATAGAGCTTGTGCCAGGTTCCTGGCTCACCAGAGAGATGAAGGAGAGGGGCACCTCACCATGGAGATCAAGAACAAGTCCGAGGATGACACATGCTGCAGGTAGTCCGGGTTTCGGTGCCGGAGCCGCTCAATGTATACCAGAGCTAGCATCATGGCACACGGGGAAATGCACGCCTCCCTAGGAGGTGGAAAGAATCAGTAACTAAAGCCAAGGGTCATTCGGCTCTCACAATTCTTACAACACCCATCTCTACATCTTCTCTTTAGAGACAATATTCTCCCCTTTATAGGGCCCAAAAACTCTCATCCTAGTTGATCCTCAGTTCCTGGCTCACCGTGACACATGAGCTACATATTTCTTCTGGAGTCGGCGAATAGGACTGGGGGCTGCTTTCTGGAGCAGTTCTACTGCAATGTCTGTAAAGGGAAGAAGGAAGACAAAGTGAACAAATGACTCCCACACCAGGCCCCACTGCTATCAGTAAAAACCCAGGTCTATGTTATCTGAGGCCTTGGGTACAAAATAGAGAGCAAATGGTCTCAAGATGAGACAAAAAGCCCTAAGTTTGAATTTCAGATCTTTCCAGCAGGAAGGCTAATTCCCTGTCAATTCAAATGGATCATATCTGTCTTTTGCTGATGTTTGTCTAAGAAATAGACATACCCAAGGGAAATCCCTAGAAAACTAAGTTTCTGATATATGAATGCAAAGAAATACCAGGGTGGTGTAGCTCAGTGGTAGAATATGTGCCTAGCATGTGTAAGGCTCTGGATTCAATCCCCAATACTACACACACAAAAAGAGCAGGCCTGGGTGCCTATTACAAGTCCCAGATACTTGGGAGGCTGAGGCAGGAGGATGACTTGGGCTCATAAACTGGAGACCAGCCTGAAGAACAAAAAAAAAAGGGCCCCATCTCAAAAACAAAAACAAAACACTGGCTGTGAAATGTTGTTTATTCTCAGGGGCTAGAAGAACATGAGCTATAACCTGCATTCTTGAACCAAGTACCAATGAGCTAGCTTTGATGAGACAGTATACAGCTCTGGGAGTAAACTGGAGGTATCTGGGTGACTGCTGACAGCCCCTCTCTTACCCTCATCATTTGCCCAGTCATTGCCTAACCTGCTACAGGGCTAGAGAGCTCCTCCAGGTTGCAGTCAGTCTCCCAGTCCCAGCCATAGTACAGTCTCCTTCGGATCCGAGCATTCAGCTTCTGGTGTCCTGGGAGGAACTAAAAAACAGGGCAGGAGGGGGTGGAGAGTGAACTGTAGAGAAGAGTATAATGAAGATCCTGGCTCTCCTTAGGTGGTAAGGGTCCGCTTTGCTGCTAGGGGCCTTATGCCCCACTCAGTTCCTAGTTCTTTGGACTGTCTGCAAATGGCAGTCTGTGCCACAGGGGAGGAAAACACAAAGCCCTATTGAGAGCTCCCCGGTGACAGTCTCCAAAATGGGCCCCTAGTCCAGCCACCCCCCCCCTTCTTGCCCCGCGGCTCTGCCTCAGGGCCCAAGAGGCCGGGCCTCGAGTAAACACTACTCCAGCGGCTGCCGCCCAGTCCCGGGCACCGAAAGACGGTGAGCTTTCGGTCCACTGGAGGCCTGAGGGGAATGCCCAGCATAAAAGGCGTTGCTGGAGAAGGGGGCTGGAGAAGAGGGCGGCCTGCGCGCTCACCGTGAAATCTTGAAAGCCGGAGAGAGAGAAGGTGCCTTCTTCGTCCAGCAGGAGCCCGGCCAGGTCCATCGCACCGCCAGCCGCCGCCTTGCCAAGGTGGAGAAAGAAAGGAGTTGTAAAGGGCCCGCAGAGCCGTCCTCGCCGCCGATTCACCTGCCCGCCTGTCTCCCCGAGCGGGCCGCAGCCCTCGCCCGCCAGCCCCCTCCCCTCGCGGCGGCAGCGGCAGGCGGAGCCCGGGCAGACCCGCGCTTCTTCCTGTTCCGCCTCGAGCGCGGCGCGGCGGAGCTCCACGGCCGGGTGCCTGGCGCGGCGCTCACCTCGCAGTTAAGAGACGACCCCGCAGCCCAACGCCTACTCCGCCGTGCCGCGTCCGCCCCGCGTCTAGAAGCCGCGCGCGCGACGCCGGCGAGTCAGAGGCCGGCAGGAAATGCCGCCCCGCCTGCCGGGGAGACGAGCCCCGCAGAGCTCACGGAGCCGGGCCAAGGGGCAGAGCTGAGCCACGAGGACCTTCGTCTCAGAAATGGGGACAGTTCTTAGGAGACCACGCCGCCGAGGGCGAACCAGCCAGGCGGACCTTTCCGTGTCCCTGTGTTAATGTGAATAAAGCAGGCAGCACCGAGCTGCCCCACTTGTTTAGAAGAGATGAACTCAGTCAATAATGCACACAAAAGGCGGCTGCGAAAGCACACAGAAACTTCCTGTGGGAGCACTACGGGCAGGTGAAAGGGACACTTTAGCTTTTCACTGTATACCTTCCAGTATAGCTTGACATTTTAAGCCTAAATGAATAAGTAGTTTTGCTGGGTTACTGCAAACAGTGATGTTTGTATGTCTCCCCACCAACAGCTGCATCTCTGGTTTTATTTTTAAACTCACCTACCGCCCTCAGTCACGCAAGGCGATGGGGGAGCAAGGAGCGCCAAAACGTGGAGTCAAGAAAGAAGTTTACGGAAAGGGGAAAAAGCAACTTGTTTTCGAGTCTGTCGAGTCACGCGCTAGTGTTTGTTTACCCGCTGAGGGGAGGGACCTGGGAGGGCCACTAGTACGTAGGGAGTTGAGTACTGAGACGGCCGCCGCCCTTCCCGAGCAGCAGCAGCAACAGGTCCTACCCGGGATACTGGGCGCCCGGAAGCCCACTTTCTGCACCTCCAATCGGGGTCACACCTGTGATAAGATCAGCTCTAGGCGCCTCAGTCTCCCTGCGGACACTGAGACAAGAACGCGAACTGTGCGGAACGGACCCCGACCTACGGTCACGAATACCACAGGAAGAACTACGCACCTGCGTAGGTGCCGGGTCAACGCAGCCGCCTGCGCGCACGCGCGGGTCGCCCATCCGGGCGGTTGAGCCGCGTCACGTGACGCCCGTCCGCAGCCTTTGCTCTCCTCGGCTTGCGCCCCCTTCCGCCTGACGCGCCCCTGGCGGCGGCCGCGCAGCCCTGGCTCCTAGTGGGCTCGGGCGGCGGCTGCGGCTGGGTTATGGCGAGCGGCGGAGGCGGTGGTAACACCGGCGCAGGTGGGGGCCCGGGGCTGGGCCTGGGCCTAGGTCTGAGCCTCGGCATGGGTGAGGCCACCTGCGAGGCGGAGGAGGAGGCGGCCACGGCCGAGGCGGTGGGACGCCTGGCCACGACACTGTGGCTGCGTCTCCGCGGCTGGGAGGCAGTGCTGGCGGCGGCGCAGCGGCTGCTGGTGTGGGAAAAGCCGCTGCACAGCCTGGTCACGGCGGCCGCGCTCAACGGCCTCTTCTGGTAACGGCCGCGGAGGAGGGGGGCGGGGCCGGGCTGCGCGGGAGAGCGGGGGCGGAAGGGACCAGGAGCACCTTTCTCCTTTCTGGGTTGTCACTTGGCCTGGGGAAATGATCCATCCCCCAGGTTTTGAAGGCTGACGTCCGCCTGGGTTGCTGCATTCCTCTGTCTCTGGGTGGCGAGTTAGGCCTGCAAGTGCTGTACCCGAATCTGTGGGCGCTTTTCCGCCTTTAGCGATGAACGCAGGAGCCACTCTCACCCACTCCCCGTGGGGTGGTTCTCTCTCTCAAAGGTTGCTGTCCTCATCGTCCCTCCGGCCTTTCTTCCTACTCAGCATCTCACTTTTGGCCTACTTTCTGCTGGATCTCTGGCAACCTCGCTTCCTCCCTGATGTTTCAGGTGAGTGGTTCTTCATTGGGCAAGCACCTGTTTATTTTTGTGCTTGATCTCCTGGATGGGGATGAAGGTAACATATAGCAGGCATTTCCCAAAATTGATGTGTCTGTGGATGTAGTGGTTAAGAGTGGATTTTGCAGCCAGCTTGCCTGGGTTTCATGCCCAACTCAGTAGCACTTACGTGTGTATAACCTTATAAATAGTCTCAATTTCTGTCTCAGTTTTCTTATCTCTGAAGTAGGGATGATAGAATTTAACATCGTAACAAGATAAGGATTAAATGAGTCAACACATGATGCATGATTATGGTAGTGTTTAACTTACAGTATTTGTACTAGTTTGTTGGGTTGTTTTTTTTATATTTAATGTGCATTTTGGAGCAAGAGGTGTCAGGCTGTGTGAATTGTGTGGGATATGAACAATAAGATGTGGTGTCTGTGTTTACAGGGTAAAGTTTAAAAAAGGATATAGAGCAATGTGTAATACCTACTGCAGTTAGTATTTGAAGAAAGTTTTCTGGGATTGCAGAGGAGGATAACTATTTCTGCCTGGGGAGTGTCTGCCAGTGCCTCTACCACTTAATAATTTGTTACCTTTCTTTCTCCATAGCATCATCCCCTGAGGAACCACACTCTGACAGGTGAGTACAGACCATCTCCTGAAGACAGTCTGCTTCTTGGTGCTGATGTCACCACAAAGAAGAACAGTGCTGCAGCTTCTACAGGCACAGCCCCAGCCAAGTGAAGGGACTGACAATAGGCCGGAGTTTTCTTGGTCCTAGGCTCCTGTGTTGGTGTTTGTACAACTGCTGCTTTTGACGCAGAGGGTTGGGTACCCTGGGTTTTGCTTATACCCAGGACTGGGACAGTCCCCCTTCCGGAGGTGGGTTTTGGTTTTTTGGGTTTTTTTTTTAACTTCGTTAGACTGAAGATCTCATCAGCAGTCTTAGAGGGAATTGAATGCCTAGGAAACTGGTGTCTGAGGCCTCTAGGGGTCATGTCATGTCTCTCCAGTGAGGGTGCGGGGTCAGGCGCCCGGCCGCACCTGCTGAGTGTGCCCGAGTTATGCAGATACCTGGCTGAGAGCTGGCTCACCTTCCAGATTCACCTGCAAGAGCTGCTGCAGTATAAGAGGCAGAATCCAGCTCAGGTAACTTTCCCCACACCCTGTAATGGTTTTTTGAAGGTGAGGGTAGGGTAGAGCAGAAGTGTTGTGAGCTATCTGTTGCAAACCTCCTGAATTGATTGTCATGGGCATCCTGTTGACTAGACTGGATCACTGAACTTCTAGTGGAAATACCCATTCTGTCACAGCTGAGCAGTAGTTTGTTAACCTACATGAGTTGGGCACAAAGCTCAGCAAACTCATCTTCACAGACCTTGTATTCTTCTCTGCAGTTCTGTGCGCGAGTCTGCTCTGGCTGTGCTGTGCTGGCTGTACTGGGACACTATGTCCCAGGGATTATGATTTCCTACATTGTCTGTGAGTAAGGGCCAGCCCTGCCCTTCCCATAGCCCTCCTCTTTTCTTTCCACAGACCAACCTAGGGGGAGGACTATGTTTTCTTTGTTCAGTTCCCCATCTGTGGAGGTTTCCAGGGATGCTATAGAGCATTCCTGTTTATAGTAGAAGAGTCGTTTAAGGAGGAAGACAGTAGATTTCGGGCAAAAAGGGTAGCACTACTTGGGAAAGGACCAGGATTTCTTCAGCTCTTCTTACTTAGAGACCAGCTGAATGAAGGCTGTCTAGGAAGTTGGCCTAGAGAACTCTGAGTGAACTTTCTAACCCATAGTGCTGAGTATCCTGCTGTGGCCCCTGGTGGTTTATCATGAGCTGATCCAGAGGATGTACACTCGCCTGGAGCCCTTGCTCATGCAGCTGGACTACAGCATGAAGGCGGAAGCTGATGCCCTGCATCACAAACATGACAAGAGGAGTAAGGGACTCTCTCAATCCAGGAGGGTGAAGGGGGGAGGACCTGGATTATGGCTTGAAATGCCCTGGAATTTAGATCATCTCCAGTTCCTTGGCCATGTTTGTCCCCCACTATTGTCCTTGCTTGGACACTGCCTTATTGCTCTTCTCTAGAGCGGCAAGGGAAGAACGCACCCCCAGGAGGTGATGAGCCACTGGCAGAAACAGAGAGTGAAAGCGAGGCAGAGCTGGCTGGCTTCTCCCCAGTGGTGAGGTCCAGGGGAGATGGGGATGTCAAATAGAAGGCTGGGGAAATCTGTATGCTTTAGAACTGCCACCTCTCAAGGAGGTGGGAACCCTACAGTTTGGGAGCACGGTGCTCTTATCCCATTGTTGTGTTCATCCTGGTTCTCCTGCAGGTGGATGTGAAGAAAACAGCACTGGCCTTGGCCATTACAGATTCAGAGCTGTCAGATGAGGAGGCCTCTATCTTGGAGAGTGGTGGCTTCTCTGTATCACGGGCCACAACTCCACAGTTGACAGATGTCTCTGAAGGTATGGGAAGCCTTTTGCCTCTCTCAATCTTCCTTTTTTCATTCCATGGGGTGCTGGTTGTGCTCTCTGGCTTCCCACAAATCATATTTCCTCTGGGGAACGGACCCTCTGATTTAAGGTCCCGAAAGATCTTAACATAATCCCTGGCCTAGCATCCATTTTTTAAGTTTGTGTCCTTGAACTTTTGACTATTGTGGTCAGAGTATCAGCCCCATTTCTAACTTTTTCTCTGCTCAGACTTGGACCAGCAGAGCCTGCCGAGTGAGCCAGAGGAGGCCCTGAGCCGGGAGCTGGGGGAAGGAGAGGAGGCAGAGCTGGCCCCTCCTGAAGATCTGCTAGGTACCCCACCAGCTCCCTTAAGGCAAGCCCTGGACTTGGAGGAAGGGGAGGAAGATGTAGCAGCCAAGGAAACCTTGCTTCGGCTGTCATCCCCTCTTCACTTTGTGAACACGCACTTCAATGGGGCAGGGTCCCCCCAGGATGAAGTGAAGTGCTCCCCTGGAGGACCAGTGGAGACGCTGAGCCCAGAGGCAGTGAGTGGTGACCTCATGGCTCCACCCAGCACCCTGTCACCCCCACTTTGCCTTGTTGAAAGTGACCCAATCCCCTTCCCTTCCCCCTCCATGCTCCCTCCTCTTCCCCAGGACTCACCCCAACCCCTGTCTGCCCCTGAGGAAGAGGAGGCACTTGCCACTGAGGACTTTGAATTGCTGGATCAGGGGGAGTTGGAGCAACTGAATGCAGAGCTGGGCTTGGGGCCAGAGATACACCCAGAGCCCCCTGATGCTCCACCCCCTCCTTCTTTGGGGCCAGATACCCATTCTTTGGTACAGTCAGACCAAGAGGCACAGGCCATGGTAGAGCCATGAGCCATGGGGAAAGAGCTGCAGGCACAGTGGGCTTCCTGGCTTGAGGTGTTCCTCTTTTCTCCTTTCCCTACCACTCTAGGGTGGGGCAGTGTGCGGGGAAGCTGGCTATCAGTTGGTAGCCAGCCTACCTTCTGCCTGCCTGCCTGCTGTCCTAGGCTTGGTGCAGCACCTGTGCCTGGGACGGATTTTAAGTCTGTAAATAATTTTTCATTTGGGTTAGTGGATGTGAACAGGGCTAGGGAAGTCCTTCCCACAGCCTGCACTTGCCTCCCTGCCTCATTTCTATTTTCATTCCACTATGTCCCAAGCCCTGGTGGTCTAGCCCTTTTTTCCTCCTATCCTCAGGGACCTGTGCTGCTGTGCCCTCATGTCCCACTTGGTTGTTTAGTTCAGGCACTTTATGATTTTTCTCTCCTGTCCTGCATTCCCCTCAGCCTTGTTTCCTTGCTGTGTCCTGTCCTTAGCAGTGCAACCCTTTGACATCTCCTTCCCACAGGTACTGGCCAAGCTTTAGTGTGGCTCCTGGTCTGGGAGGTAAAGAGTAATCGTGGAGTGATGGGAAAGGCCAGTAGTTCTGCATTTAGGTTGCTGCAGTCTCTAAAAGCTCCACTGTACCCTTGCCCTAGTTCAGCCTTTTCATGATGCAGGAGAGCAGGGTCCCACAGCACGGGTGTCAGTGCTGGGTGGTAAGCATGTGCTCTTGTCTTATTGAGATAAGAGGCTTCCTTGCTGTCCTAGGGAGGAAGAAGGAAACCTGCTCCTCTGGGCCATGGATGGGACCCCATTGGGGTCAGGAGGTAGATAGTAACATCTGTGCAGGTGTCATTTGGAAAAATAAAGTGTTGATTGGCTAGAACTGCTGCCTGCTTGCCTGCCTGCCTCACTGTGAGCTGCCTCCCACACTGCGTGTTTTCCCCTCCTCACCCTTACACCCTTTACTCTAGTCTTGCTTCTGGCTGTTCATTCATCTCGGTGCAAAACAAGGCCAGAAATGAGGATTACCCTGACACCCTAACTGCCCGTCAGCCATTTTCCTGACCACCGTGTGATATGTTTAGTGAGACTTAGCATGCGTGAATAAAGTGTATGCAGGAGGAAATTGCCTTGTCTTCCCAATTAGTAGAAATTTGGAGCCATAAAACTTGTTTTTTTCCATGTTGCTTACATCCTTAACACTATCCTCTTAAGAAGTCATCTACATGCTAACAGCTTGCTCAGTCCTGATATATGTATACTGGGCAGGCCAAACAATAGTGGACTTATACATACCATAGCAACTGACTGAAGGCCAAGGAATACTAAAGAAATAATATCTTACAATTTTTAATGATTTATATATGTTGACGTGTTTTTTTCCTCACAACTCTTGAGATATATCCTGTTATTACTCCCATTTTATGGATAGGTTAACTTTGCTGAAAGTAACAAGGCCCAACAAATGGTGGAACCGAGATCCAAACCCACATATTTTGGCTCCAGCAGATACAGTTGAATAGTCAGCCCCTCTCTATCAACAAGATACAAATAGGAAGATGCTCAAAGATGAGGGAACTATAGCGTAAATCTGATACCTTGGCTTTACAAAGGTTAGACTCGTGACAATCCCCCCTCCTTTGGGAAACAAACTGAGCAGCTGGTCTCTATATGAGTTCATGTCCTTAGCCTTCAGCTGCAGGCACCATATGGCAATGCTGTTTTTTTGAGGTTGACTTCTATGCCTCATCTCTTCTGTGAGAATTTTCCATTTGTTTGGTATTTACCATCTTTCAGGGTTGACTTGAGACCTTGTCCTATGTCACTGAAGAAATAAACTCATCGTTATCTATAGATTTCAGAAGAAAATGGAAATCAGTTCTAATCAACAGGCAATTCCAGATTAGAATTAACCAAAGTCATTACCTAATGCTCCACCTTAACCTTTTTCCTTATTAATCTTGGAGTTCGAGACTGGAACCAGAAGCCTGTAACTAGATCAAAACATCTCTAGGTCTGGAGTTCCTTAAGGGTCCATTATTGATGTTCACCCTGGCCTGATGGTTGCTACATATTGTCTATTTTTTCCATTATCAGGTGTCCTGGCCATTTTGTGTACCATGATGAAAAGCACAAGAAGACAACTTTTCCTATGAATGAAAGTGTGAAACCTATCATTAGGCTAAACAAAAATCAACCATGGAAGTACAGGCTTGGAGAAGAAGGGTTGGCTTCGTGTTTATGTTGGGGTAGGAAGCAGTATTCCTAACTATGTATCCAAACAGCTAATGGTGTAACTTGGCTGCTCATAAATTAATTTAGCTTTAGTCTGCCTTAATACAATTTTAGTCTTCAGAACAAGGAAAGTAGTAACTTCTGTACAGCACACAAGTGAAAATACTGCCAGAGGAGGGTTTGCTATGCAGTGTGCCCAGTTGAAAGAATTGGGAAATGTTTTAAGAAGAGACTTGAGTTGGTCATGTTAGCTGCCTTCAGATTGTGATGATTTGTAGGGTTTCAGAAGGCAGAAATTAAAGTCTTTTGAGTAGATTGATAATAGAGTTTAGTTTTCTAGACAAGGGATACTACAAAACAGATTTATTTTTTTCTTTTTGTGGATCTGGGGATTGAACCCATGGAAGCACTGTACACTGAGCTACAAGTACCCCAGCCAACAAATGATCTTTAAAACACAATGGTCAAGGACAGAGATTCTAACAATAATCTTGTGGAAGAACACTACATCACCATGTCGTTTTTCTTTTAGTATCTATCTAAAGTCTGCTCAAACTTCTCTCCCTCCACCTGTTTCCTTAAATGTTGGTATATTGTTGGGTGTCAATAGTTGGCATTGCACTCTGCTCATTCATCCTAGGCAATTTCACATATTTACCTATTGGTTCCTACTTATTTGCTAATAATATCTAAACCTTAGCTCCTTTCCCAGAATTTCCAACTAGACATCTCCACTTGAATGTGCCACAGGTGCCTTCTGCTCAACAGATCAAAACCAACTAATTTTCTTTCCATTCTGCACTCTACTCCCCACCTCCCTCAAACACAACATTCTTCTGAACTTTTCATCTTGTTTGTTGGCACCATTAAGTATGATAGCCTACTTCTCCCTCATCCCACACCCAGTGTATCTCCAGTTGCTGCCAATTTGGTTTTCTAATCACTTTTTGAAGGCTACCTCCATCACAGTTCTGTTGCACATTCTCCTCGTCTCTGGACAGTTTTCCTGCCCACAGTCTTGTCCCTGACCACAAACCCTTACTTAATAAAATGCCTGAATTATTATTAATTTTTGGTGTCAGGGACTCAACCTAGAGCCTCAAGCATAGTAAGCCTGTACTCTACTACTGAGCTACATTCCCAGTCAATAGAGTATTTACAAATAATAGATTTGATGAGCTTTCTGTATTTAATATTTATTAACCAAAGGCTTATCTACAAGGTTATAAATTCAAGCTCCTTGAAAGGGTTAGGAAGTCTGAAGCTGGGTACAGTGGCTCTTGCCTCTATTCCAAGCAGGTCCAGAGGCTGAGGCAGGATGATCACAAACGCACGATTGCCTCAGTGATTTAGCAAAAACCCTCAGCAAATTAGACCCTATCTCAAAATGAAAAAAAGGACTGGGGACATAGCTCAGTGGTAAAGCGCCCCTTCCCCACTGCTCAGCTGTGCTGCTCACTTGCTCCACATGCATATACTTATTTTCATGCCTGCACAGTGCAGCATCTCAGCTATGGCATCCCCCACCCTACCCCTCCAGTGCTGAGGATCAAACCGAGGTCCTCATGCATGCTAGGCAAGTACTCTGCCACTGAGCTACATCCCCAGCCTCTCACTTTTTTTTTTTTTATACTTGGGATTGAACCCAGGGGCACTCTACCACTGAGTTACATCCCCAGCCCTTTCTGTACTTTAAGACAGGGTCTTGATAATTTGCTGAGAATTTCACTAAGTTGCTGAGGTTGGCCTCAAACCTGTGATCCTCCTGCCTCAGTATCCTGAGTTGCTGAGATGATAGGCATGTAACACTGCACCTGGCCCCTTTACTTTTTTTTTTTTTTTTTTTTTTTGGTGTATGTGTGTCTGTGTGTGTGAGAGATGCTGAGAATTGAACCCAGGGCCTTATGCATGCGAGGCAAGCACTGTACCAACTAAACTATGTCCCCAACCTGGCCCTTTACATTTAAGATATCTTCAGGTCACACTATATCAACAAACCTGCCCTGATATTCCATATCATACCCATTCCCATATCAGTCCTGCTCTTCTAGTGTTCCTATGGTATCTTAGGCATACTTCTTTCCACCTATTACATAGAATTTTCATATGTTCTCTGTATGTATATGTATCCATAACTTTAAATGTTCATTCTTGAAGGCAGAGACTGTCAATTCACCTGAATATTCCCAAAATCTACCACAGTGCCTGACACATAATAAATGCTCAATAAATGTATATTGGACTAAAGTGCACTGTAATAACTAGTTCCAACTTTTGAAGCAGACAATATAAATAGAGTTTGGTGGTGGGTTTATCTGTTGAAGGTAAATATTTTGTTATTGTTCCAGAGTTGATAATAGCTAAATTAAAATAATCCACAGATAGACTTGTGAGTTCTTTGTTTCTGCATTAGGTTAAAGGCAATGAAAATTATCTAGATCTGGAGAATTATATTTGCTGGTTTTGGAGCTAAAGATTTTCTGAGTTTAAAGTAAGATTGCCCAATTAGCTTGAACCATTATGACTGCATCAAAATATTATATTATTTGGAAAATAATTTTGGCTAAAATATTTAGACTCAGATATTTTAATCATTCAATCTAGTCATGTCTGGGCATTGTGGTGCAAGTCTGTAATCCCAGCAACTTGGGAGGCTGAAGCAGGAAGATCACAAGTTCACATCTAGCCTTAGCAACTTAAATGAGACCCTAAGCAACTCAGTGAGACCCTGTCTCTAAATAAAATTCAAAAAAGGACTGGGGATATGGCTCAGTGGTTAAATGTCCCTTGGTTCACTCCCCACCACAAAAAAAATAACAATAATCATATGTAGTAGGACTTACTTTAAAAAATTGAGCTGCAGGTTAGGATTGTGGCTTATTGGTAGAGTGCTTGCCTAGCATGCCTGAGGTACTGGGTTCAATCTTCAGCACCACACAGAAATAAAATAAAGATATTGTGTCCACCTAAAATTAAAAACTAAATATTAAAAAATTGAGCTGCTACTCAGTAGAAATAAGATTAAAGAAGTTGATTGTTTTGTTGTTTGCAATGCTCAGTGGTACAGTGCTTTCCTAGTTCATGTGAGGTACTGGGTTTAATCTTCAGCACCATATAAAAAATAAATAAATAAAATAAAGGTATTGTGTCCATCTACAACTAAAAAATATATATAAAAGCTGGGTGCAGTGGCACACATCCAGCAACTCAGGAGGCTGAGGTAGGAGGATTTTAAGTTCAAGGCCAGGCTCAGCAACTAAACAAAGCCCTAAATTACTTAGCAAGATCCTACCTCAAAATAAAAAGGTCTGGAATTGTAGCTCAGTGATAAAGTATCCCTGGGTTCAATCTCCAGTACCAAAAACAAGCAAACAAACAAAACCAAAGAGACTGACAAATACTAAATGTGATCTTGAATTGGATGCTAGGTGGAGGGAAAAGAGCTGCTACAAAGGACACTACTGAGACAGTTGGTAAAATCTGAATATGTATATCATACAAAAGAGTATGTTGAGCTTTATAGCTCATTGCTAAAGCCCTTGCCTAGCATATATGAAGCCCTGGAATCAATCACCACAATACTTGCACACACAGATTGTATCCAGGTCAAATTTCATTAATTTAATAATTGTGGTATAGTTATATGAGTGGATATCCTTATGTTTAGGATACTGAAGAATTTATATGTACAGTTCTCTGTAAATTTTATCAAATAGTTTAAATTAATAATATATGGGGTGTGTGTGTACATGTGTATATGTGTAGAAAGATAGAAAATGATAAAGCAAATATAACTACTGATTGTGAAGGAATACATAGATAAATATAACTAGAAGTTTCCTATTCATTGGATAAATACATGTGATATATTTAGATAACTAAATAGAATGAACAAACTAGAAGTAGACACAAAATAGGTGAATTTTATAAACAAAATATTAAGCAAAAGAATAAATACAAAATGATATATATGATTCCATTTATATAAAATGAAGTTATACTGGTAGAAGGCAAGTTAGTGGCCACCGTTGGATGTGGAGGGAAATGAGTGAAGGGGTCTTCTGGAATTCAGTAATCTTTTTTTTTTTTTTTCTTTTTCTTTTTTTGTGCTGGGTATCCAATCTAGGGCCTTGCAAATGCTGGGCAAGTGCTTTACCACTAGAAGAGCAGACACATAAATGAGAAATAGAAAAGGATCAATCATTATCAACACAGAAAACCCATCAAATCATAAAGATGAATAAGAGTGGAAGAACTGAACAAAGACTATTCAACTAGAAGCAAATCAACAAAATGATAGGCACAAGTCCACACCTTTCGTTAATAACTCTGAATATAAATGGCCTTAATTATTCATTTAAAAGACACAGACTGGCCAGACATGGAGGCACATGTCTCTAATCCCAGTTACTCAGGATGCTGAGGCAGGAGGATCACAAATTCAAAGACAACCTGGACAATTTAGAACTTGTCTAAAAATAAATGTTTTTAAGACTTAAAGTGGCTGAATTAAAAACAAGACTCAAAAATATGCTGCCTACATGAAACTCATCTCACCAATAAAGATAAGTGAAAGGATGGGGTCTAAGCAAATGGAATCTTAAAAACAATCAGGAATAGCTATATTTATAGGTAAGACAAAAGCAGTATGAAGAGAAAAAGATGGTCACTATATAAGAGTCAAGGGATCCAGGCTGGGGTTGTGGCTCAGTGGTAGCATGCTTGCCTAGCATGCATGACGTACCAGGTTTGATTCTCAACACCACATACAAATAAATAAAGGTCCATCAACAACTAAAAAAAAAAAAAATCAGGGCTGGGGATATAGCTCAGTTGGTAGAGTGCTTGCCTTTCATGCACAGAGCCCTGGGTTCAATCCCCAGCACCACAAAAAAAAAAAAAAAAAACCTAATTTTGGGGCTGGGGATGTGGCTCAAGAGGTAGCGCGCTCGCCTCGCATGCGAGCCGCCCAGGTTCAATCCTCAGCACCACGTACAAAGATGTTGTGTCCACCGAAAACTAAAAATAAATAAATAAATACTAAAATTCTCTCTCTCTCCCCCACTCTCTCTTAAAAAAAAAAATCAAGGGATCAATTCATCAAGAAAATATAATGATTATAAATCTATATGCACTTAATAACAGAGCACCCAATTTTATAAAACAAACATCATTTAGACCTAAGAGGAAAAGATAGGCTCCAATACAGTAATAGTGGGGATTCAGTGCCCCACTATCACCAATGGATCATACAGACCCAAAAAGAAAAATCAACAAACTCAAAGTACACTATAGTTCAGTCTTTTTTTTTTTTTCTTGTGGTGCTGAGGATTGAACCCTGTGCCCCGCGCATGCCAGGCGATCGCGTTACCACTTGAGCCACATCCCCAGCTATAGTTCAGTCTTAATAAACATCTCCAGAGCACTCCATCCAACAGCTCCAGAATACAAATTCATCAGCAAATGGAACTTTCTCTGATATAGACCATATATTAGGCCATGAAACAAGTCAACAAATTAAAAAATATTGAAATCATATCTTGTATCTTTTCTAATCACAGTGGAATGAAATTAGAAACCACTGCAAGAGAAACTTTAGAAATTATACAAATAAGTGGAGACTGAACAACATACTTTTGAATGAACATTAGGTTATTTTTTTTTTTTTAAAGAGAGAGTGAGAGAGATAGAGGTAGAGAGAGAGAGAATTTTTTAATATTTATTTTTTAGTATTTGGCGGACACAACATCTTTGTTTGTATGTGGTGCTGAGGATCGAACCCGGGCCGCACGCATGCCAGGCGAGCGCGCTACCGCCTGAGCCACATCCCCAGCCCCCAACATTAGGTTATTGATGAAATCAGAAGGAAATTTAAAAATCCCTTAAAGCATGTGAAAATGGAAACAACATATCAAAACCTGTGAGATACAGCAATAGCAACAACTGAGAGGGAAGTTTTTAGTGATGAGTGCCTACTATTTAGTGATGAGTGCCTACAATTTTTAAAAATTGAAAGATTTAAAATAACCTAATGGAGTGGATTTCTGCCAGGCTGGGCTTGCTGATCTAGAGGCAGCAGCGAAAGGAGGCCTTGGCCACGGGTCTGGATCCGGGATGTCGAAGAACACGGTGTCGTCGGCCCGCTTCCGGAAGGTGGACGTGGACGAGTGCGACGAGAACAAGTTCGTGGACGAGGAAGACGGGGGCGACGGGCAGGCCGGGCCCGACGAGGGCGAGGTGGACTCCTGCCTGCGGCAAGGAAACATGACAGCTGCTCTCCAGGCAGCTCTGAAAAATCCCCCTATCAACACCAAGAGTCAGGCGGTGAAGGATCGGGCAGGCAGCATTGTCTTGAAGGTGCTCGTCTCTTTTAAAGCTAATGATATCGAAAAGGCTGTTCAATCTCTGGACAAGAATGCTGTGGATCTCCTAATGAAGTATATTTATAAGGGCTTTGAGAGCCCATCTGACAATAGCAGTGCTATGTTACTACAGTGGCATGAAAAGGCACTCGCTGCTGGAGGAGTAGGGTCCATTGTTTGAGTCCTGACTGCAAGGAAAACGGTGTAGTCCAGCAGGAACTGGATCTACAGCAGGAGTGGGAGTTGCTGGTACAAAGACCAAAACAACCAAATGCCACGGCTGCCCTGTGGGTGGCATCTGTTTTTCTCAGCTTTGCCTTCTTGCTTCCTTTTTCATATCTATAAAGAAGAAAATTACATGCCAGTTTTCCTTTCATGAAAATTGGGATAATGTGGAGGAAATTTGGTTTCAGCAGGATTGTTTCATCCTCTGGTAACCATTTCAATGATGTTTATACCAGTCTGTGCAGAGTACCATGTACATTCAAATTTAATTGTGCAATCTTAAACCCCTATCAGCTGGTTACTGTGTTGTTGGTTTGTTTCCCCCCACCACCACCCCGACTAATACGAGGGATCTGATCAGAATTTGAGGCCAGTTTCCTAACTCATTGCTAGTCAGGAAGTGATCTTTATTAAATATATATATATATATATATATATATATATATATATATATATATATATTTTTTTTTTTTTTTTTAGAAACTGGCAGCTATTAACATTGCAAAACTGAACCATACTTCCCTTATTTAAGCAAAATGTGTTTCTGGAACAAGTGGTGGGTGAAAACCATTACTAATTTCCAATTTTATTTCTCCTTGTCTCCAGATTATGCTGTGAGTTTTAAGAACGCTACTTCCTTTCAACATTCAGTTATCATGGCCTCTTGATTTCTTTGTGGTCACCCAGGGTCCTGAACAAGGAGTCTTGTTCTATACAGGTGTATCTATAAAATATCAGAGCCTGTTTGGCTTGATATTAAAGCTTTGGTGTGTCAATAATGTGGCTCCCTTTGGGGAAACTACTCCAAATCAGAAAGGATGAAGAAACTATGATGTAGTTCAAATTCTGGGCAGTCTCTGAATGAAATACTGTTTCTTTAGAAAAATAGTAGCTGCCTTAGACATTATGATGACATGTATGAATATTTATTATACCATTTAGTATGCCCTATAAATGTCCTCAGTGTTCTTCAGGGTAATTGGGATCTCAAAAGATTTGGTTCAGATCCAAACAAATAACATATTCTGTGTTCAGCTCAGTATTTCTTAAAAAAAAGTCACACAGCAAAAAATTGTTTACTTTGTTGGACAAACCAAATCGGTTCTCAAAAAGTGGCCGGTGCTTATAAAAAGCTATTATTTCAGAGTAGCTCCAAAAAAACCACCTGAAAGCATATGACCAAGAGGGAAATTAGCCTGTGTTTAGTATTTACATTGGCTACCAGTTTCATAATCACTGACTTATATGAAAACTGGTGCAGAAATTCTATAAACTCTGCTGTTTTTGATACCTGCTTTTTGTTTTGTTTTGTAAAAATGATAAAACTTCAGAAAATAAAATGTCAGTGTTGAATAAAAAAATAAAATAACCTAATGATGCATTTCAATGTCTTGGAAAACAAACCATAACCAAAATTAGTAAAGAAAAAAGGTCAGAGCAGAAATAAGTAGAAGAGCTTAAAAGAACAATACAAAGGATCGATGAAACAAAGAGCTTGTTCTTTGAAAAAATACACAAAGTTGACAAACCTTTAGTTAGACTAATGAGAGAGATAAAAAGCAGATGGCTGGGGATGTGGCTCAGTGGTCTAGTGCCCCTGAGTTAAATCCACAGTACCAAATATATATATATATATACATATGTATATGTATATGTATATGTATATGTGTGTGTGTACACACTTTAAAATATATATTTTATACAATTGTATAAAAATATTTTTTAAGAAGCAGAGGTTACAAACATTACTACAGAAAGTCAAAGAATCATTAGGGAATATTTTGAAAAACTACATGATAAAAAATTAGATGATCTAGAAGAAACAGACAAATTCTGGAAACATTTGACCTTCAAAAATTGAACCAAGAAGATATTAAAAAATGGAATAGACCAATAACAATAAGAATCAATCAGTAATAAGTGTCTCCCACCAAAGAAAAGCCAAAGAACAGATGGCTTTACTGCTGAATTTTACCAAACTTCTTATTTTGAGGGTGGTACTAAGGATTGAGCCCAGGGGTGTTCTACCAATGAGCTACATCTCCAAGCCTTTTAATTTTTTGAGACAGCACCCAATGAAATTTCCCACGCTAGCCTCAAATCTGTGATCCTCCTGCCTCAGCCTCCTTTGTCACTTGGGATTACAGGCATGAGGCACTGCACCAAACTTGAATTTTATCTAAGTCTTAATGAAAAACTAACAACAATGCTTCTCCACAGGGCTGAAAGGGAGGGAACGCTTCCAAACTCATTTTGTGAGGTAAGCATTACCCTGTTATCAAAACCCGAGAAGGACACAATGAAAAAAGAAAATAGACCAATCTATTTTATTAAGATCAATGGAAAAATTCTAAATGAAATACTTACAAATCAAATTCAACAGAACAGCAAAAGATCATGCTACCATGATCAAGTTGGTTTCATTTCAGGGATGAAAGAATTGCTCAACATATACAAATCAATAAACATAACACAGCACATAAAGAGGATCAAGGAAAAATTATATAATCACTGCAACAGATACAGAAAAGCATTTGATAAAATTCACCATTCCTTTCATGATAAAATACCTGAACAAATTAGGCATAAAGGATCATACCTCAACATATGACAAACCCATAGTCAACATCATGTTGGATGGGGGAAAACTGAAAGCATTTCCTCTAAGATCAGGAACAAGACAAGCCCCTCCACTTTCACAGCTGATTCAATATAGTACTAGGGATTTTAGCCAGAACAATTAGATAAGAGAGAGAAAAATAAGAGGCATACAAATAGGAAAGGAAAATGTTTAATGTTCCCTGTTTGCAGATGATATGATTCTACACACAAAAAAAACCAAAGAATCCAGTGAAAATACTGTTAGAACTGATAAATATCTATGGTAAAGTAACAAGACACAAAACCAACATACAAAAATCAGAAACTTTCTATACAGTAAAATTAATTGGCTTATAAATCATGAAAACAATCCCTATAGCATAATCATAAATAAATAAAATACCCAGAATAAACTTAAAGGAGGAAGTGAAAGAATTCTATGATGAAAATTACAAAATGCTGAAGAAAGAATTTGACTTCCCATGTTCACGGATTGAAAGAATTAATATTGTTAAAATGTCCATACTACATGTTATGGTTTGGATATGAGGTCCCAAAAAACTCCTGTGTTAACATAGGGTGCAAAATGATTAGGTTATGAGAGCCATAAACTAATCCATGGATTAATTCATTTGATGGAGTAATAATTTGAATGTATTATTGAGTGAGAACTGTAGGCAGATGGGGCATGGCTGAAGGAAGTGGGTCACTGGGGATGTGGTTTGAGGATTATGTATTTTGTCCTTGGCTCTTGTTCTTGTTCTCTCCTCTCTCTCTCTCTCTCTCTCTCTCTCTCTCTCTCTCTCTCTCTCTCTCTCTCTCTCTCCTTCCCGGCTACCATGATATGAGGATTTTCCTTTCCACAGCCCTTCTGCCACAATGCTCAACCTAACCTGGAGCCCAGAGCAATGGGGTCTGAGGACCATGGAATGATCTCTGAAACCATGAGCCAAAATAAACTTTTTCTTCTCTAAGTTGTTCTAATCATATATTTTTGTTACAGTGATGGAAAATGGACTGTCACACTATCCAAAGTGATCTACAGATTCAGTGCAATCCTCATCAAAATAACAATATTATTCTTCACAGAATTAGAAAAACTCCTAAAATTAATTTGGTAGCACAAAAGACCCAGAATAGCCAAAGCAATCTAGAGCAAAAAGAGCAAAACTGAGGGCATCACAATCCCTGATTTCAAGACATACTGAAGAGCCATAGTAACAAGAACAACATGGCACTGGCATGAAAACGGACACACAGACCAATGGTACAGAATAGAGAACCCAGAAACAAATTCAGATATCTACAGCCCACTGATTCTACATAAAGGTGCCAAAAACATAGAGAAAGGACAGCTTCTTTAACAAATGTTGCTGGGAAAACTGGATATCTACATGTAGAAAATTAAAACTTAACCCCTATCTCTCACCCTATACAACTCAAAATGGATTAAAGACTAAATGTAAGATCTAAAACTATAAAACTACTAAACGAAAACATTGGGGAAACACCTCAATATATTGGTATAGGTGATGGTTTTCTGGATAGGATCCAAAAGAAAACAAAGGCAAAATAATGACAAATGGGATTATATCAAATTAAAAAGCTTTTGTACAGCAAAGGAAACAACAGAGTGAAGAGACAATCTACAGAATGGGAGGAAATATTTGTCAGTGATTCATTTGACAAAGGGTTAAGGTCTACAATATATAAAGAACTCCAAAAACTTAACAACAAGAACCAAGTATCCACTTAAAAAATGGGCAAATGATCTGAATAAACACTTCTCTCAAAAAAGAAATATAAGGGGCTGGGGATGTGGCTCAAGCGGTAGCGTGCTTGCCTGGCATGGGTGCGGCCCAGGTTCGATCCTCAGCACCACATACAAACAAAAATGTTGTGTCCGCTGAAAACTAAAAAATAAATATTAAAAAAAAAAGAAATATAAGGCCGGTGCACTGGTGTGCACCTATAATCCCAGCAGTGGGGGAGGCCGAGATAGGAGGATCTTGAATTCAAAGCCAGGCTCAGCAACTCAGTGAGACCTTGTCTCTAAATAAAATACAAAAAAGGGTTGGGGATGTGGCTTAGTATTTAGGCATCCCTGGTTTCAATTCCTGGTGCCAAATAAATAAATTAAATTAAAAACAAAAATCTGTCAATAAAACATATGGAAAAAATGCTCAAATTAGTGGTGCACACCTGTAATCCCAGTGCATGCCTATAATCCCAACCAGCCTCTGCAAGTTCAAGGCCAGCCTGGGCAATTTAGTGAGACCCTGTCTCAAAATCAAAAACAAAAAGAGCAGGGGATGTAGCTCAGTGGTATAACACCCCTGGGTTCAATTCCTAGTCCTAAGGTGGAAAATGTTCAATATCATTAGCCATCATGGAAATGCAAATCAAAACTGCAATGAGATACCATCTTAAACCACTTAAAATGTCTGTTATCAAAACCAAGAAATAACAAAAGCTGGAGAGAATGTAGAGAAACAGGAACCCTTATATACTATTGGTGGGAATGTAAATTAATTAACAGCCACTGTGGAAAATAGTATGGAGTTTCCTCACAAAAAAGTAGCGCTGGGGACATAGCTCAGTGGTACAGCATTTGCCTAGTTTGCACAAGCCCTGCATTCAATCCTCAGTACTGCAAAAACAAAACAAAATTAAAACAAAACTACTATAAGATCCAGCTATCCCATGCCTGGGTATACTTCCAAGAAAATAAAGTCAGTATACAAAAGAGATATC